TTAGAGACTTCATCCACGATACAGGAGAAGAGCTTGATGTTACGTCTCTAAGAAAAGTTATTAGTGAACATTTGTCGAAATTGGAAGAACGTTTCGAATTTTACTTCCCAGTAGAAGATCCACGAAAAGAAAATGGAGAAAATGGACGAAATCCTTTCATTGCAATAAAAGGCGATTTACCAGTTGTCATAGAAAACAAATTTTTGAAGCTCGTAGCTGACGAAGGCTTAGAAGCAAGCTTCGAAGATGATAATAAGTTAACTGAATATCCTGAGCTCTCAGACATTGTCATGAAGAAACTACTTCCTTTTTACACGACTTACCACGAATTCAACCACGAATAGAAAAACTGGGGAAAAATTGGGTTCGTTTTATATAAATGTTGCCTATAGTTCCTAGACCTAGTTACATTTTGCATTAAAAGTTCACTGCGACTGAATATGATACCGGTCCGCAACACACCCAGTAAACAAATTTGCGTTTCAGAAACATTTCTGATACATATTATTGAAACATGAAATGTTTCTTCGACATATTTCTGCAACATAGTTGAAACGTGTCTGAAACTGCTAATGTCCGGCCCTTTTTATGTTTCATTGAAACGTTTCTATTGAAACGTTTCTGCAACATACAGCTGACAATTACGGTACATTACTAAAATGTTTCATTAACGGTTTTGAATTATTTCTGAAATGTAAATACCTTTACCAATCTACGAAAATGTCTCTTAGAGATATTCAGCTTTAATTTTTTTCTTTCCATTTTATCACACGAACGTAAAACTATATAACTATATAATTTTATATGATTGCAGGAGAAAAACAGCCAAATTTAGCGGGAATCTCGATCATACCTTATAGGTTACGATTTGATCTGCGGAAAACATTCTTTAAATAGTGTTCACAGCCTTATTTTCATTAACTAAATCTAGTGGTGATATACTGGGTGAGTTTTTTTGCATGTTTAGTATAGAGATCTTGAAAACTAGCGGAGATCTCTATCTCAGCGTCTCTCTAGACGATTAAATAGAAAATAAATAGAATAAGTGAAAGAATTGCAGTTTCATGAACTCAATTTAATGAGCTTTTTGTTTTTTGGATAAAATGTATGACTAACTAGATATCTCGAAAAAACCGTTGTTTTGTTATATCGTTAGATACCTATGGCTCCACTATTATTGATTTTAGGAAACATGTGTAAAGGAAAAATTTGTAGGGTATTACATGTTTAATACAGCAGTCTTACAGATTTTTTTATTTAAGAAATAATTTTTGAGTTATGACACAAACTTGTAATTTTTCTAATGGAAACCATAGTTGGCCATGACTTTATAAAGAAGGCCTTTTCTCAACGATTCTAATGATATACTATAGTATATCATAATAACTACTTTATTTAAATGTATTTTAGTCGTTTTGTCTACCTGTTTTCATCGTTACATCGATCATTTATAGAAAATATTTCTTGAAACAAAAATTTAGGTACGAGTCTATATTTAAGTAATAAAGCTATCTACTACCATTAATAATAAAAATAATATTAATAGTAAAAACATCTATTAATATTATACAGGGTCATCCACAACGACCGTCCATTAGAACTATACGGGGTTCTGGCCAAAATAAAAATTTGAAAATTTAGGTTTAAGTATTATCAATTGCGTTCTCTTCGACTAAAATATTTTCAGATTTCTAGCACATCCGGTTATACCGGAAGTTGCCACCTGCTTTATTTTTTGAAATGGAACAGCCTGTATATTTTTACATATTTGGATTTGTCTATTTTCAAAGTTTATGAATGAATTTACTTTTTGCAATTTAATTCAGCCGTCCTCGAGTTATTCGAATTTTTCTAAAAAAATCTGCTCCAGCAGACATTTGTACAAAAAATCAGAGAACACTCGATTTTTGTGATATCAATTTAGGATTCAGAACATGCTTAAGCAACATGATGGAGTGTGTTTTGGTGCCGAGTACGGCTGTGTAGAACGTTTGGTCACTTTACTATGGCACGTTAACTTTCCGAAACTTGGAAGTACCATAACTTCATTTTTTTAAATGGCACCCCTCATATTTTATTACCTAGTCGTCTTCGTTGTCTCATTTTACATCTTTTATATCCCAAATGTCCTATACCTAAAATTTATAGTTTGGGAGATAATTAGGGTTTTTTGAAAAAATGCACACATATCATATCGATATTTAACCTAGTCTGCCATGAATTAAGTGCCTAGTGTGACTTAGTGAATAACCAAATGAATGGGGGTTTGAAAATTTGCAGACTTGTAATGTTTGATGTCAGCTTTTTAACTAAAATGTTTTCAAGTTCCGGGTACTTGTGGTTACACCGGAAGAGGTGAAAATTTTCATATTTCAAATGGAACACCCTCTAATTCATTATATTTTTGAAATTTTTGTTCAATTTTAGGCCACTTGTATGTTACATACACTAGGTTGAGTCATTTTTGAGATTTTAATTTTTTGTAATCAAAAATGTCAACTACAACGTTACGTTTTATAATTTATAGCTCATCTATTCTGACCGCCGGAAAAAAATTTTGTGTTGGGAATGTTGTGGTGTTTATGTATTATCGGAGGATCAGTAAGGAAAAAATAAACAGTTTGACATTTGCTAAAGCTATGGTTTATTTCTGTTGGTGTGATGACTAGGTTACTTTTTGTAGTGATCTGTTCTCAAACAATGCCACATTTGAATTTAGTAATGAAGATTATTTGAAGTCTGCAAATTTTCAAACCCCCACTTCTTTGGTTATTCACTAGGTCACACTAGGCACTTAATTCATGGCACACTAGGTTAAATATGGATATGATGTGTGTATTTTTCAAAAAAACCCTAATTATCTCCCAAACTATAAATTTTAGGTATAGGACATATGGGATATAAAAGATGTAAAATGAGACAACGAAGACGACTAGGTAATAAAATATGGGGGGTGCCATTTAAAAAAATGAAGTTATGGTACTTCCAAATTTCGAAAAGTTAATGTGCCATAGTAAAGAGATCAAACGTTCTAGACAGCCGTACTCGGCACCAAAACATACTCCCACGGCACATCATGTTGCTTAAGCATGTTGTGAATCCTAAATTGATATCTCAAAAATCAAGTGTCAGTTGGAGCAGATTTTTCTAGAAAAATTCGAATAACTTGAGAACGGCCGAATCAAATTGCGAAAAGTAAAATTATTTATAAACCTTGAAAACAGACAAATCAAAATATGTAAAAATATACAGGATGTTCCATTTAAGAAAATAAAGTAGGTGGCGACTTCCGGTATAACCGAAAGTGCTAGAAATCTGAAAATATTTTAGTTGAAGAGAACGCAATTGATAATACTTAAATCTGAGTTTTCAAAGTTTTATTTTGGCCAGAACCCTGTATAGTTCTAATGGACGGTCGTCGTGGATGACCCTGTATAATGAAACTAATTTGATTAGGTATTTATAAGATAGATTTTTCGATCATTTATCTATGAAATTATCGAAATAGAATTAGTTTTTATAACTAGTAGTAGTTAGCTAATTTTTGACTGAAAATTCTAGATAATATGACTAAATGTTAGGTAGTTTTCCCACATTATTTTTCTCAGTGTAGGTCTCTTTCTTTAAATAGTGTTCACTAGCCGTATTTTCATTAACTAAACCTAGTGGTGATATATAAAAAAACTTATACAAAACTTGCGCCATTCTAAACCAATATTCGAACGATTCGAACTGAGAACAGAACAAAACACACAATAGAACAAGACGTGACAAGACGCTGACCGCGTCACCGCGATGATGATATTCCAGACATGTTTCAGACACATTTGTAAAAAAATGTTTCAAATGAAATGTTTCTGCTGCATATTTTGATGATATTTCATATATATTCCTACTGAAATGTATTTGATACATATCTTTAGATAGGTTTCGTAAAAATCGTATCTATCACGTATATGAAAAGTAGTTCTAAGATGTTTCATTTAATTCACTGTACGTTAAAATTGAAATGTTTCGCAGATGTTTCTTGTTTACTGGGCATTGGGACAAAAAAAATGCCAGTCCGCTACATTAGATAGTTTGAGAAGCACTGGTCTAAAATACTTTACGCTCCTTATGATAGTTTCGATGTGGAAGATCACGAAAATGGCACAATACAACCAGGAGAGTGGCGACAAGACACTTAAGGCCTACTGAATCTACAAGTTAATCCTAACCTTCGCGGAAATTTGGAAGCCAAGAATGTACAACTGGAATTTACACAATATTTCCACCAGGAAGGAAAAGTTGCATAGCAATACAAATATACATATATAAAAAACATATGATTATACTTACGAATAAATCCATCGTTGTTTCATTACCACATGTCGGTCCATCTATGAATTTTTAGGCATCATAAAATTCACATTTTACTTCAAAATTTTTTCCTGCTGCCTGGCCGCTTTTAGTGTGTTTTCGTTTCCTGTTGATGCTTTGGAATTGGCAACGAAGATTATGTATTTTATTCTTCACTTTTTGAGTCAGAATTTCCAACATATTGGAAATTTCATCTATAGCTGATTTCCAAAGATTTCTATTTTTATAGTTTTCGGACGAACAGTCCCACAAATTGGGATAGGATTCATATAATTCGATTAGTTGCAGTATCATAGTTCTTGTCCAGTTAACAGTACATTCTTTTCTTTTTAAACCTTTTGTTTACTTGCAGAACTCATTGATAAAAACGAATGATTAGCTCACGACACAACAGCGAAACTCACGTGCTGCGCGTGTAATAAATGTCTCATGCGAAATTCGCAAGAGTCATGTTTACACGTTGAAACTTGTACAAGATATAAAACTCTCATGACAAATTGTTTATCTTTAGTATTTCATGAATTTCAAACTCTATTTGCACAACGAAATTAAAGTTATCTTGCGATTTTTATTTCATGAGACGAAAATCTCATGAGATATTCTCATTGTGGATTCGCACCTTTACAACTAATAAAATTAACCTGAAAATAAGTAAATCCAGTCATATAAAAATGTTTAATAACATGCAATGAGGTTCCAACGGCTAACAATAATTCGAATTTATGTATAGAATGTTTCCAATATCCTCGAAATCCCAAACACCAAATTTTAAAAATTGTTTCTAAATCCAATAAAAAGGTAAACCCCAATTCTATGTAATAATATTTTTCATAAAACGTTTCTCTTGGTTGCTCATTATGTTCGAATCTCATTGTAGCCGTTACGATTCCATTCGCCAAAATAATTCCCATCACAATTAAACGGAAATGAGGGGATCTTAAGATTGTGTGACAAATTTCGGGGGCTAATCCACCGTGTTTGTTCTCATCCAAAGTGACTAATTTCCATTTTCTATCGTCTCCGGCTAATATTTGCTACAAAAAATAAGATTTTTTTAAAAAATAAACTATTATGAAATTTTTTTTTGTACTTGAGAAGCGGCACTACTTTGAATGTGACCTCTAACACCCCACATCTGTTGAAATTGAACTCGAATCTCGTTAAAAGTTTCTGTAATAACCGCAATGAAAACGTTTTTAACCAACCAGGCCAAAAAAAAAATCATCGTGCTGAAATAAAGGACAGCTCTCCAACCAGGTAATGAATCTATCGCTCTGTACATGATGAAAACCCAACCTTCTTGAGATGCCGCTTGATAAACGGTGAAAAAACTCGTAACTAAAATAAATAAAGTTTTGAAATTGAATAAATTTATAAAGAAATGTTTACCAAATTCGTCAAATCCATTGAAACCTCTTTTATATCTCGATAATTCTAATTTCATACATTTCATTCCCGGTGGACATTGATAACCTGAATTTGGCTCGATTGAACAGAAAGTATCGGGAATTGCTAAATTATTTAAAGTTATATCTCTAAAAGACAAAATAATTATAAAAATTTTAAAAATATTTAATTTAAATATTAAAAAATGCACTGTACGCTTTTTAGACAGTAAATCGCCGATAAAGTAGTTTTCTTTAATTGAATAAAAAACAGTACATTTTACAATAATAAATTAATTTTTAATGTAAAAAATTACTTCGTGGGATCCGTTGTGTTTAATACACAATGATTCTTTAATTCGCCAAAAAATTGGACTCCCAATAACCCATACAAAGACATGAAGAATAAGAAGAACAAAGTGACGTTGTAAATTTGTTGACTTGATCGCCTTAAAACATTCAAAAATGAATTAATTAAAATTTAATTATTAATATAATACTTAAAAATTTGGTTTGGTTGAATGAACTGATTGAGGTAGTTAGGGAGGCGACGTTGAAGAAAGAGAGTGGGCGACGGGGTGTTAAACTGGGAAGGAACGAAGGGTGGGATAGGGAATGCAGAGAGGCGAAGAGAGAAGCTAAAAGGAAATTGAGACAGTGTCAGAGAAAATACAAAGAAGAATACAAGAAAAAGAAGAGGGAGGCTGAGAAGATTAGGGAGTTGAAAGAGAAAAATGTTAGTACTTAAAGAGGATGAGGAAGTCAGCAGAGACTTACAAATGACGGAATTCACGGAATGGAGATCCTACTTCATGGGATTGTTGGTAGGGGTGGAGAGAGAAGAATAGCAGAGGGAGAGCGAGGGGTGCAAGGGTGAGATAACACTGGAATAAGTGGAAGCAATATTGAAAGGATTGAGGAGGGGAAGGGTGCCAGAAGAAGATGAAATCCAGAATGCGGCATGGTTGGAGGCGACGTAGACTGTGAAGAAGAAGCTATGGAAGGAAATAAACGACGCATGGAGAGGGGAGGGGTTTCCGGACAGGTTGTCCACTGTATAAAATGGGGGGGTTAAAGGGTGCAGGGCAATTATAGAGGGATCACGCCGTTGGACACTACATTTAAAATATGTGCAAAGGTACTGCTGGGGAGATTGGAAGAGGAATTGGAGAGGGGGGAGTTGTTGCCGGATGAGCAGGCGGGATTCAGGAAGGGAAGAGGGGTAATTGACAATACATACATACTGAAACACCTGGCAGATAGGGGGTTGAACAAGAACGGAGGAAAGTTGTATGCGTTGTTCGTAGACCTGAAGGCGGCATTTGATAAGGTGGATAGAGGGAAGATATGGAAGGAAATGAGGACGAGAGGTATCACATTACAGCTGATAGAGAGAGTGAAGGAGACGTACAGGGAGACGATGGCCAAGATTAAAGTGAGGGAAGAGTTAAACGTGCTATTCTAGACGACGAAGGGATTGAGACAAGGATGCGATGTATACGGCGGACTTGGAAGAGAGACTTGGGAGGGGGCAGATGAGTTGGGTTAGGTTGGGTTGGGTGATAGGTTCTGCTCCATGGGCTGGAATAATACGCGCTCTGGAGAGACGATGCATCAGAGGATACCTTGTGAGGACAATTCAAGCCTACCTGTCGGAGAGGGAGGTGGTGGTTCCGAATGGAAGAGTATTCCATTCGGTGGGGTTCCACAAGGTTCGATACTGGGCCCTACGTTGTGGAATATATTTTACGACGAGATACTGCGAATGGATTTGGAACACGGAGTGAGATTAGTGGCATATGCTGATGATCTTGCCCTTATCATATGTGCCAAAACCAAGGAAGAGGTAGAGGACGCGGCTTGTTACGCGACCGAGAGAGTCATAAGAAGACTGAACGAGATGAGAATCAAGGTGGCGGCCAAAAAGACCGAAGTGGTAGTTCTACAAGGAACACGAAAGGTGCCAAAAATGGAAGTAGTTATTGAAGGCCAAACGGTGGAAAGTTCACTAATGGTAAAATACCTAGGGGTTTATCTCGATAAGGATATGAGAATAACGGCGCATGTCAGGAAGACCATGGAAAAGGCTCTGAAGATGATTAACATACTCAAGAAGATTATGTCAAACGTATGGGGACCAATAAGCAGAAAAAGAAAACTGCTAGCCACTGCCATTACGTCTGTCTTGCTGTATGCGGCGAACACCTGGAGTAGGGCATTAAAATATAAGTGCTATAAGAAGAGGCTCAACGCAGTAAATAAGAAGATAGCAATAAGTGTAACATCAGCGTATTGCTCGGTTTCCGCAGAGAGTATCGAGGTGACAGCGGGTATGCCACCGATGGACCTGCTGGTAGAGGAAAGACTCTCCCTACACGAGAGAGGGAGAGAGAGTAAGAGCAAGATAAAGGAAGATCTGATGAGGAAATGGCAAAATAGGTGGGATCAGTATGACGGATGGGCCAGGACTATTATACCGAAGCTGAAACCATGGATAGAGAGAAAGTGGGGGGAAGTAGACTACTTCCTAACACAGGTGATAACAGGCCACGGTATTTTCGGAACATNCTTTAGTATTTCATGAATTTCAAACTCTATTTGCACAACGAAATTAAAGTTATCTTGCGATTTTTATTTCATGAGACGAAAATCTCATGAGATATTCTCATTGTGGATTCGCACCTTTACAACTAATAAAATTAACCTGAAAATAAGTAAATCCAGTCATATAAAAATGTTTAATAACATGCAATGAGGTTCCAACGGCTAACAATAATTCGAATTTATGTATAGAATGTTTCCAATATCCTCGAAATCCCAAACACCAAATTTTAAAAATTGTTTCTAAATCCAATAAAAAGGTAAACCCCAATTCTATGTAATAATATTTTTCATAAAACGTTTCTCTTGGTTGCTCATTATGTTCGAATCTCATTGTAGCCGTTACGATTCCATTCGCCAAAATAATTCCCATCACAATTAAACGGAAATGAGGGGATCTTAAGATTGTGTGACAAATTTCGGGGGCTAATCCACCGTGTTTGTTCTCATCCAAAGTGACTAATTTCCATTTTCTATCGTCTCCGGCTAATATTTGCTACAAAAAATAAGATTTTTTTAAAAAATAAACTATTATGAAATTTTTTTTTGTACTTGAGAAGCGGCACTACTTTGAATGTGACCTCTAACACCCCACATCTGTTGAAATTGAACTCGAATCTCGTTAAAAGTTTCTGTAATAACCGCAATGAAAACGTTTTTAACCAACCAGGCCAAAAAAAAAATCATCGTGCTGAAATAAAGGACAGCTCTCCAACCAGGTAATGAATCTATCGCTCTGTACATGATGAAAACCCAACCTTCTTGAGATGCCGCTTGATAAACGGTGAAAAAACTCGTAACTAAAATAAATAAAGTTTTGAAATTGAATAAATTTATAAAGAAATGTTTACCAAATTCGTCAAATCCATTGAAACCTCTTTTATATCTCGATAATTCTAATTTCATACATTTCATTCCCGGTGGACATTGATAACCTGAATTTGGCTCGATTGAACAGAAAGTATCGGGAATTGCTAAATTATTTAAAGTTATATCTCTAAAAGACAAAATAATTATAAAAATTTTAAAAATATTTAATTTAAATATTAAAAAATGCACTGTACGCTTTTTAGACAGTAAATCGCCGATAAAGTAGTTTTCTTTAATTGAATAAAAAACAGTACATTTTACAATAATAAATTAATTTTTAATGTAAAAAATTACTTCGTGGGATCCGTTGTGTTTAATACACAATGATTCTTTAATTCGCCAAAAAATTGGACTCCCAATAACCCATACAAAGACATGAAGAATAAGAAGAACAAAGTGACGTTGTAAATTTGTTGACTTGATCGCCTTAAAACATTCAAAAATGAATTAATTAAAATTTAATTATTAATATAATACTTAAAAATTTGGTTTGGTTGAATGAACTGATTGAGGTAGTTAGGGAGGCGACGTTGAAGAAAGAGAGTGGGCGACGGGGTGTTAAACTGGGAAGGAACGAAGGGTGGGATAGGGAATGCAGAGAGGCGAAGAGAGAAGCTAAAAGGAAATTGAGACAGTGTCAGAGAAAATACAAAGAAGAATACAAGAAAAAGAAGAGGGAGGCTGAGAAGATTAGGGAGTTGAAAGAGAAAAATGTTAGTACTTAAAGAGGATGAGGAAGTCAGCAGAGACTTACAAATGACGGAATTCACGGAATGGAGATCCTACTTCATGGGATTGTTGGTAGGGGTGGAGAGAGAAGAATAGCAGAGGGAGAGCGAGGGGTGCAAGGGTGAGATAACACTGGAATAAGTGGAAGCAATATTGAAAGGATTGAGGAGGGGAAGGGTGCCAGAAGAAGATGAAATCCAGAATGCGGCATGGTTGGAGGCGACGTAGACTGTGAAGAAGAAGCTATGGAAGGAAATAAACGACGCATGGAGAGGGGAGGGGTTTCCGGACAGGTTGTCCACTGTATAAAATGGGGGGGTTAAAGGGTGCAGGGCAATTATAGAGGGATCACGCCGTTGGACACTACATTTAAAATATGTGCAAAGGTACTGCTGGGGAGATTGGAAGAGGAATTGGAGAGGGGGGAGTTGTTGCCGGATGAGCAGGCGGGATTCAGGAAGGGAAGAGGGGTAATTGACAATACATACATACTGAAACACCTGGCAGATAGGGGGTTGAACAAGAACGGAGGAAAGTTGTATGCGTTGTTCGTAGACCTGAAGGCGGCATTTGATAAGGTGGATAGAGGGAAGATATGGAAGGAAATGAGGACGAGAGGTATCACATTACAGCTGATAGAGAGAGTGAAGGAGACGTACAGGGAGACGATGGCCAAGATTAAAGTGAGGGAAGAGTTAAACGTGCTATTCTAGACGACGAAGGGATTGAGACAAGGATGCGATGTATACGGCGGACTTGGAAGAGAGACTTGGGAGGGGGCAGATGAGTTGGGTTAGGTTGGGTTGGGTGATAGGTTCTGCTCCATGGGCTGGAATAATACGCGCTCTGGAGAGACGATGCATCAGAGGATACCTTGTGAGGACAATTCAAGCCTACCTGTCGGAGAGGGAGGTGGTGGTTCCGAATGGAAGAGTATTCCATTCGGTGGGGTTCCACAAGGTTCGATACTGGGCCCTACGTTGTGGAATATATTTTACGACGAGATACTGCGAATGGATTTGGAACACGGAGTGAGATTAGTGGCATATGCTGATGATCTTGCCCTTATCATATGTGCCAAAACCAAGGAAGAGGTAGAGGACGCGGCTTGTTACGCGACCGAGAGAGTCATAAGAAGACTGAACGAGATGAGAATCAAGGTGGCGGCCAAAAAGACCGAAGTGGTAGTTCTACAAGGAACACGAAAGGTGCCAAAAATGGAAGTAGTTATTGAAGGCCAAACGGTGGAAAGTTCACTAATGGTAAAATACCTAGGGGTTTATCTCGATAAGGATATGAGAATAACGGCGCATGTCAGGAAGACCATGGAAAAGGCTCTGAAGATGATTAACATACTCAAGAAGATTATGTCAAACGTATGGGGACCAATAAGCAGAAAAAGAAAACTGCTAGCCACTGCCATTACGTCTGTCTTGCTGTATGCGGCGAACACCTGGAGTAGGGCATTAAAATATAAGTGCTATAAGAAGAGGCTCAACGCAGTAAATAAGAAGATAGCAATAAGTGTAACATCAGCGTATTGCTCGGTTTCCGCAGAGAGTATCGAGGTGACAGCGGGTATGCCACCGATGGACCTGCTGGTAGAGGAAAGACTCTCCCTACACGAGAGAGGGAGAGAGAGTAAGAGCAAGATAAAGGAAGATCTGATGAGGAAATGGCAAAATAGGTGGGATCAGTATGACGGATGGGCCAGGACTATTATACCGAAGCTGAAACCATGGATAGAGAGAAAGTGGAGGGAAGTAGACTACTTCCTAACACAGGTGATAACAGGCCACGGTATTTTCGGACCATATTTGTGTAAGATCGGGAAAGCATCATCTGCACAGTGTTGGTTCTGTGGGTGAGTGGATACACCGAAGCATACGGTGTTCCACTGCCCGAAGTTTGCGACGGACAGGAGGAGGTGATTCGAAGTGTGTCGGGAAACGGTAACCAAAGATAATATCGGGACACTAATGTTAGCCGATGGCGAGACCTGGGAGGAAATTGGAGAGTACCTCAGAAACATTATGAAGACCAAACAGGAGGAGGAGTGGAGAATAGAACGGAGAGGCCGAACAGAGAGGGAGGCCGATGGCACCGTGACGGAGGTGCATGACAAGGATGAGCGAGGAGGAGAAGAGGGGGATGTTTCCCCCTCGACCAGGTAAAACATTTTGGTGAAACATTTCAAAAAGTTTATGCATTTCTTATTTATATGTTGGATCGCATAACCACTGTCAAGACGAGAGGTGCAGAGGAAGAGGAGGAGAGGGGGAAGCTTCGGAATTTCAAAAGTTGATGATTTGTTTTACCGTTTCATGATGTAACCACCGAAATAGTGAGGAACAGGGCTGACACGAAATGGATGGATTGGTGATAGAGTGCAGAGATGAGAGCGAGAGTGAAGACGACTCCGAAGAAATGCCCGGAAGGACGATACCAGAGACAGAGGGGGAAGGGTTTTAGTCGATCGGCCCAAGAGGTAAGCCAACCCGACACTACCTGACTGCATGACAACTTAGGTCAGGAATCTGTTTAGCAGATTTCCTAATCCCCTCTATAAGAAAAAGGGTTGGGTGATAGGAGGAACGAAGGTGCATGCGCTGGCGTATTCGGATGATTTGGTGGCGGTGGAGATGAAAGAGATGATAAGATCGCTGGAGAGATATTTTAAAGCGAAGAGGTTGGAGGTAAACGTTGAGAACACAAAGATCATAAAGTTCTGCAAAGGGGGAGAAGAAGAGAGATAGAGGAAGTCAAAGAGTATACGTACCTGGGATATGGGTTCTTGGAGGGTAATAAGGGTTTGGGGATGGGGCGAGAGAACTTTTGGTTACGTTTGAGGGCTTGGTAAGGAGCGTAATGATGTACGGCGCAGATATATAGGGATGAAGAGAACAAGGAATGCTGGAGGATGTGCAAACAAGGTATTGGAGATGGGTACTAGGGTTGGTGAGGGAGACTCCAGAATATACCGGGTGTTTCAGAATTGCACGGCACTATTTCAGCGATGTATTCTTCAGCACAAAATAAACAAAAAAGTTCATATGTATGTCTCAAATTAATTTATTAGCGAGATATTGAAAATGAAAAATTTTAATTTGTCAATGAAGCGGTCAGAGTAAATGTTCAAAATGGTTCCCGTGCAACATTGAGCACGATGAATCCACGCTTCACTAGCAAGTCTTTTAGCATCAGTACGGCCATTGACAATTACTGCGGCTTCCACGATGCGATTTCTGAGCTCTTTTTGGGTGCCGTAGAGTAAACCATAGATTTCATCCAGCCCCACACAAAATAATCTAACGGTGTTAAATAATGAGACCGTGGTGACCATTTCACAGGTCCGTTTCGACCAATCCATCGGTTACCATATGCTCTGTTTAAATAATCAGTGGCAAGATGAGAAAAGTGAGAAGAGGCACCGTCATGCATAAACCACATTCCCTGTCTATCGGCATACGGAAAGTCTTCTAGGAGCTCATATAAGTTATTTTGCAAAAAAATCAAGTAAGATATTCCGGAGAGCCTGGGTGGTAAAAAGAAAGGGTGATGAGATTATCACCAAGAAGACCACACCATACATTTAAGGAAAAAGTATGTTGGTAATGAGTAGAAGCAGTCGTATGAATCCCGGTTCTGGTAAAACAAAATTCGTCAGTAACTAGGAGGCAACTCAGGAAGGTAGGGTTGTCGAATTAACCACTGACAGAAATTTCTGCTCTTGTTATAGTCTTCTGGTAATAAAACTTGCACATGTGTAACGTGATATGGATACAATTGTTGCTCACGCAATGTTCGCCATACACTTGTACTCGAAATATCGAAACGAAATCACAATCTTCTGGTGCTAGTACTAGGAGATAACTGAACAGCATCTTGTATCAATTCTTCAACGTTAGCAGTTCGTCGAAACCTTTGTCGACTAGTGTTTATTCGTGTAGGTTTTAGCATGCCAGTTTCCCTAAGACGTTTTTCAATGGCTTCAAACGTTTGACGATTTGGTATCCTTCTAGTGGAAAATTTTTCACGGTACTTTCGAACAGCAGCAGCTCCATTTTTAGTACCTCGCCATATATTAACAACATGTCTGTTTGTTCTGCAAAAGTGAACAAATTTGTGGTGTCTCCCATGATAAATAATAAAAAATTAAATTCTTCGTACAGCACTAGAAATACCACTACAGTGTTATACACTATTTAACACATTTAATAGTAGATATTAAATCATCTATCAAGTAAAAAAAACAATATGCGATTATTGTTCATGGCTACTTGATTAAAGCAATACTTTCAAATATTTTACTTCAACTTTAAATATCTCGGTAATAAAAATTCGGTATAAAAATTTGGGACATACGTTTATATGAACTTTTTTGTTTATTTTGTGCTGAAGAATACATCCCTAAAACAGTGTCGTGCAATTCTGAAACATCCTGTATAGTGAGGGAAGAGGTTAAGGTGGATTTAATAAGGGTGGAGGCTTGGAGACGAGCAGTGAAATACGAGGAAAGGATAGAGGAAAGGCCGCATTGCAGAATCCTAGGAGAGTGCTGGAGAGAACTCAAGGAGAAGAGGTTGATATATGGGCAGAGATATAGGGAAGGATATTATAGGAGAGTGGGATATTCAATAACTGGGATCGGCAATAGAAGACTGGAGAGAGGTGAAATGTGGTGAGAACAAAGGGATAGGGACAGGGACATACAGAGACAGGAGAAAATGTCACAGATACAGTAAGGAAATAATGTAAGGTATGGGGAAATAGTGACAAAGGAACTGTCTAAGTATCTGTTGATGGAAGGGGATGAGGAAAGGAAGGGATTGGTGGCCAGATTCCGCTGTGGCAATGAAGAAAGAGGGAATAGGTATTGGGCAAACGATGTGGAGCGGTGGTGTAGGCTGTGTGGAGAGGATTGGGAGACGCTGGAACACATGTTGAGATGGTGTAGTAAGCTGAGGGAAGATGTTATCGATTGGCGGCTGATTTTGGGAAAGGATGGTGAGGACAAGGGATGGATAAGGGGACACATAGTAAACAATAAAGTGGTTATTATTACTTAAAAATTTGGTTTATCCTTGATTTAGGCATGGAAAACTTTAAAAATACCCTCAAAAATCGAATCATAATTAAAGGTCTCGGCGCTCTCAAAATCGATAAATAACTGAAACTGTGAACGATTTCCAACATTTCAAAAACCTGTAAAATAACCGAAATCCATAGGAAAAACACCATAGTGCAGTCGAATTGGCACCAATGATCTTTTAAATACGGTTTTTCACCCTATAGAATTAAAAAGATTATTTTAATTTATTAAAAAATTAATTTTTAAAATTACCTTTAAAATTCCTCTTATATGCATTTTCGCAATCATTTCAGCCGTAAATAAAAACGTTACAAAAACGTCGCAACAAAATGTGATGTATTTTAATTCGGGGATTTTTTCAAACGTTTTTGGTGTGTTACAACTTACTGAAGCTAAACTAATTAAAGCGCACATTCTCATCATTCTTCTCACCCATCGTTTATTAACCCATTCTATATCGGCGCTTTCATTAAAAGCTTCATCCGGACCATAATCAGCCAGAACTGGTTCTCCTTTTAGACTTTGTTTTCTTCCCAACATTTTTAATACAAAATATTCTTTGAAAATTAATAAATTTTGATGCTTATAACGTTTTTTATTAACATGTTTTATCGTTCTTTATAGGAGATCATCTTGAAGCAATGGTCCAGATAAACTGAAGCTGAAAATCAATATTGCTGAAACGTTAAAAAATTCAAAATTAATAAGAACAACATCATTTTTAACCATATTTTAACGTTTTACTAATAAAATATTACAAATTAATCTTATTTATAAATAAATTTTATTTTAAATAATAATATAAATTATTTTGTGGGGATTTTTACTTTTTAGGTTGGTATTGATTTAGGTTAAAAGATTGACGTTTGACGTATTTTTAAAAGAAAAGATGTTTTAGTTATTTTGTTTGTTATTATGAAATAAATATTAATATATCTTCAAATGTAAGGATTATTTTTATTATTTCTGAAGAATATGATAATGAAAACCAATGCTCGGAAGTAATGAAATCGGCGATTCAAGTAATCAATTTATTTTTTAGTAAAATTTTGAGGTTAACGCTGTTTATTCTTTTAGGGATAAAGGAAATTCTGTGAATGTAAAAATTGAATGGATTAGAGATGATAACAGTCTGACGAAAATGAAATGAAATTTCTGAAAATCCTAAAAAAATAGTTTATGATACTGCAAATATACTTGTTTGTAATGGTCCATCAACTTCGGATAAATACAAAGTAGCTAAGAAGACGAATAAAATATAATGTATTTCTTACAATTGGTTATTAGATAGTGTAAGAAACGGTTATACACTTAAAATGAAAGAATATATAATTAAAAAACAGACTTCCACCCCAACAAAAAATGGTGAAAACATAAATCCTAATTTCTCAGAAATGAGTGTGATTAATTATACCACATCTCACATTAGTGGTTTACAAGAAAGTTTACGCTTATCTATGTCAAACTCAAATCTATCACATTCACAAACAAGTAAAAGAAAAAAATTCTACATTAAATGTATTAAATGATGATCAATGATAGAATTGATATAAAATTATTGACAACATCCATTTGGGAAAAATATTTGTCAAGCATTGAATCATATTTGCAAAGTTTTTGGACATTTTGAAGCATGTTGTTATCAAAAGAACAAAAAATTCAAAGATAGGAATTCAGATAAAGGAAAAATAAAACAGAAACTGATAAAAGAAGTTGAAGCTGAAGCGGAAAAAGAAAAAGAGGAGGAAGAAAGTGAAGATTATTATACTGTTTGTAAGATACAAGATAATTCTGCAGTTGGTGGAAATGTTACAGCAATATTAAATCTAAAATTAAATGAAATATGGAAGAAACTTTCATGTGATATGGATACTAGATCAAATGTTTGCTTAATGGGTTACATGTATGTAATGGAACAATTTGAGAATAAGAAAATAGTTTTACGAAATTCTAACTATATGTTAAGAGAATTTGGAGGACCAATAAATGTTAAAGGAGAAACAACAATAGCTTGCAAGTATAAAAACAAAAATTATAATATAGTTTCCTAAATTGTCAATATAGAACATGGACCATTGTTTTCTGCAAACGTATGCAAAATTTTGGTGCTAGTTAAGGTTTGTAATGAAGTAGTTATTCACAAACAAGAAGATAACCGGAATTTGTTAAAAGATGCTGAAACTATTGTAAAAGAATATGATGACCTATTTGAAGGATATGGAGATAAGGATATTTGAGGATTTCAATAAATAATAATAGTATTATTGGTTATTCAATAAAAAATACAAAATAATATGAAGAAAATAAAGAAATAATATACGTTTTATGTAAAGATTACAAGGTAAAGGAAAAAATAATAATTATTATTCCTGTATAAACATAGAATAGAAGTTTTCCACTGAAGCAGTATACGTAAATTGTTACCACTTGTATGTGGTTTTGCAATCAATTCATTGGTGCAGTCTAGGTCGGTGTAATTTGTTCTATTCTTTGGGCTCATTGAAGTAGATGCTAATCATTTTAGAAAAAAAACCGTCGTCTCTATTGGAATATCCAGTTTTTTATTTGTTTCTTCACTATGGCATCACTCAAGTTGGAATTAATCTTTTTATTTCTGTGAGCATTATATAGTTTTGGTGCTATGTAATTTAGGCTATGCTGTCCTATTCTTTTATTACATTTTGGAAGTTTTTCAGTTATGTTCCTGTTTCTTCTGTCATAGGAATGGTCTGTTTGATTCATTAACTGAGTATGTCAGCGTACATACGTCAACACTTTCTGACTATATATTATTTGTCTTGTGTCTAATACCTGGCTTATGTTATACAGGGCGATTCAAAACACCGCTGACATACTTCTAGAGTAGATAATACATGAAAAATTAAGATGAATAGTCTTAATATACATGGGGTCGAAAATGCCTCGTTGGCGAGATATAGCGGATCAAAGTTTCTTTAAAATTAAACATTATCTGCAATAAAAAACACTTTTTTAAAAATATTGTCTACGCCATTGCTCTCTACTCGTGTAAAGTGATCAATTATCTATCAATTGGTCTCTTACAACACTTTGATCAAAGCAATAGTTTTTAAGAAAAACACGTTTGTAGAAAATTTGTTAATTCAATCAAAAACTGTTGCTTTAATCAATGTTTTGTAAGAGACCAATTAAAACGACGACAATACTGCTCGTTTAACAAAATTAGCAGTGGAGTTGAAAATATTTTAAAAAAAGGGCTTTTTATTGCAGATAATGTTTAATTTTAAAGAAACTTTGACCCGCTATATCTCGTTAAGGAGGTATTTGCGACCCCATGCATATTAAGACTTTTCATCTTAATTTTTGATGTATTACCTGCCCTGGAAGTCTGTCAGCGGTTTTTTGAATCACCTGTATAAGTTCGAATAATCAGGTCGCCGACGTGCTTCCAAAGCCTGTAACACCGAACAAGATAAAAATATTTTGTAATAAAATAAATTTGATATGTTCTGACCAACCATGTAACAATTGAGGAGGGGTGTTGGTTTTAACCTTTGTGTCCCAAGAAGTCAAAAATTTTGAAACTTTGTGACAGAATTAAAACGCTATCAAAACACACTCAGTAAAGGCCTTTGGAATCAATATTTTAAATTGAAGCTTAAAGCTTTCTGTGTAAATATATATATAATAATCGTTGAGTTGGATTGGAAAAATATTAAAAAAAAAATGTTGAAACAAAACTTACATTTTCGTATAACCTAAAAGTGTCAAAAAAGATGCTAATTTAAAAATTCCTGGAAGCCGTATTTATTGAAATTAAGGAATGAGACTTGTTCTAAATTAAAGCTCAAAGCTTTCTCTTTAAAATGATGTATAATAATTGTTGGGTTGGATTGGAAAAATATTGAGAAAAAAAATGTTGAAACAAAACTTACATTTTCGTATAACCTAAAAGTGTCAAAAAAGATGCTAATTTAAAAATTCCTGGAAGCCGTATTTATTGAAATTAAGGAATGAGACTTATTCTAAATTAAAGCTCAAAGCTTTCTCTTTAAAATGATGTATAATAATTGTTGGGTTGGATTGGAAAAATATTGAGAAAAAAAATGTTGAAACAAAACTTACATTTTCGTATAACCTAAAAGTGTCAAAAAAGATGCTAATTTAAAAATTCCTGGAAGCCGTATTTATTGAAATTAAGGAATGAGACTTATTCTAAATTAAAGCTCAAAGCTTTCTCTTTAAAATGATGTATAATAATTGTTGGGTTGGATTGGAAAAATATTGAGAAAAAAAATGTTGAAACAAAACTTACATTTTCGTATAACCTAAAAGTGTCAAAAAAGATGCTAATTTAAAAATTCCTGGAAGCCGTATTTATTGAAATTAAGGAATGAGACTTATTCTAAATTAAAGCTCAAAGCTTTCTCTTTAAAATGATGTATAATAATTGTTGGGTTGGATTGGAAAAATATTGAGAAAAAAAATGTTGAAACAAAACTTACATTTTCGTATAACCTAAAAGTGTCAAAAAAGATGCTAATTTAAAAATTCCTGGAAGCCGTATTTATTGAAATTAAGGAATGAGACTTATTCTAAATTAAAGCTCAAAGCTTTCTCTTTAAAATGATGTATAATAATTGTTGGGTTGGATTGGAAAAATATTGAGAAAAAAAATGTTGAAACAAAACTTACATTTTCGTATAACCTAAAAGTGTCAAAAAAGATGCTAATTTAAAAATTCCTGGAAGCCGTATTTATTGAAATTAAGGAATGAAACTTATTTTAAATTAAAGCTCAAAGCTTTCTCTTTAAAATGATGTATAATAATTGTTGGGTTGGATTGGAAAAATATGGGGAAAAAAAAAGTTGAAATAAAACTTATATTTTCGTATAACCTAAGTGTCAAAAAAGATGCTAATTTAAAAATTCCTGAAAGCCGTATTTATTGAAATTAAGGAATGAGACTTGTTCTAAATTAAAGCTTAAAGCTTTGTCTTTAAAATGATGTATAATAATTGTTGGGTTGGATTGGAAAAATATGGAGAAAAAAAAGTTGACATAAAACTTATATTTTCGTTTAATCTAAAAGTGTCAAAAAAGATGCTAATTTAAAAATTCCTGAAAGCCGTATTTATTGAAATTAAGGAATCAGACTTATTTCAAATTAAAGCTCAATGCTTTCTTTTTAAAATGATACGTAATAATCACACCTAATAACCATTTACCAAGGAGATACCTTTTTAAACAACAAAATTCAAAAACGCCAATTTTCACTACACGATGCGCATCCCTACTCTGCTATCACTTTTAAACGTGTCGTAATTATTTATTAAACACAAAAAAAGTATAAAAGCGTAACTAATAACTACCTTCTTTATATTGACTACTTGATCACACCTAATGTTTTATAAATGTATATAATCTAACAATAACAGTACAATTTGATAAAGATGAAAAGCGCCCCTAAAATACCACCTCTTCTATGTACATTGGACAAGCTGAGGATCAAACTTGTCGACTTTGCAAGGACGCGTCAAAAACGGCTGAACATATACTCTGTAATTGCATTTGATTGCATTGCTAGAGGCCGCCTAAGACACAAAATTTTTGATGAAGCATAAAGGCCGTTTGGTGGGCTGAAATTACAATAGATGTTATAGGTCCCCTCAGTCCGGCAGCAATAATAATAGCTAAATATTATCAAGATTAAAATAAGTTTTGTTTAAATATATATATTCAGGTTTATATAAATGTCATTATTTGACTTTATAACCTATAAATATTTAACCTTCAAAATGAAAATCAATTATTAAAAAAAATAAAATTGATATAATTTTATNTAAATTAAAGCTCAAAGCTTTCTCTTTAAAATGATGAATAATAATTGTTGGGTTGGATTGGAAAAATATGGAGAAAAAAAAAGTTTAAATAAAACTTATATTTTCGTATAACCTAAAAGTGCCAAAAAAGATGCTAATTTAAAAATTCCTGGAAGCCGTATTTATTTACTGAAATTAAGGAATGAGACTTGTTCTAAATTAAACCTCAAAGCTTTCTCTTTAAAATGATGTGTAATAATCACATACAATAACCATATAAAGGAGATACCTTTTTAAACAACAAAATTCAAAAACGCCAATTTTCACTACACGATGCGCATCCCTACTCTGCTATCACTTTTAAACGAGTCGTAATTATTTATTAAACACAAAAAAAGTATAAAAGCGTAACTAATAACTACCTTCTTTATATTGACTTCTTGATCACACCTAATGTTTTATAAATGTATATAATCTAACAATAACAGTACAATTTGATAAAGATAAAAAGCGCCCCTAAAATACCACCTCTTCTACATTGGACAAGCTGAGAATCAACCTTGTCGACTTTACAAGGACGCGTCAAAAACGGCTGAACATATACTCTGTAGTTGCATTTGATTGCATTGCTAGAGGCCGCCTAAGACACAAAATTTTCGATAAAGCATAAAGGTCGTTTGGAGGGCTGAAGTTACAATAGATGTTATAGGTCCCCTCAGTTCGGCAGCAATAATAATTGTAGCTAAATATTATCAAGATTAAAATAAGTTTTGTTTAAATATATATATGTATATTCAGGTTTATATAAATGTCATTATTTGACTTGATTTGACTTTATAACCTATAAATATTTAACCTTCAAAATTAAGATCAATAATTTAAAAAAATAAAATTGATATAATTTTATTTATTCTAATAATTAATGATTTAAGAAGATATAATGTTAAAAATAGACGAAAAATATAGATGTTGTTGCGAAAGGTAAGTGATTCTTTTTCATTCCGTTTCAAACGAAAGTGAAATTTCGAAAGCAACCGAATGAACACCTGTTGATGTAGCAACTAAAAGCTAAGGATACAAAGACTTGTTCGCCGTTCTAAAAACCCGGTGATTCCAAGAGTTTCAGTTGTTTCGGAGACAACAAGGTGGGGACACCTTTTTAAAGTTATATTAAAATTTGTATTTTAAAATTAAATGGGAAATACGGCGGGAATTGCAAAATTGTGTTGCTCAGAAAGTAATATTGAACCAATTACCAACAGCGGTTACATCAAATCTATTGGGTATGTAAGATGACTTTCATAGAGAACGATCGTGGAGATAAAGTCCGTATAGCGTGATTATTTATCTTCAATTCGTATGATTCTGAAAAAAAAAAAAAACATTTCTCGAATCGTATATAAACGAGATTATTTCCGTCGTTTCGTTATCAGTAATTATTTAAGTGCGAGGGAATCGATTTCGTTTCAAATCGATACTTTATTATTATTTATTCAAAATGGTTTATACGGATTGGTAAGATTTAAAATTTGTTTTATTAAAATCTTAGAATCATAAAGTTGAGTGAAAGGAGTTAATCCTTGACCTAAGTTTTTGCTTTTATTATAAACCTTTCAATGATGTTCGCATTGTTAGTGTTACACAAAAAATTACTTTAATTCAAGGTTTTAAAAACGATTTTATATATATTTCGAAATTAATCAAAATACATTTTTTATAAACAACCAACCTAATCAATTTTAATTTAAACCACAATTTCCGTTAATATCTTATTTTTTCCTGTTCCATTTCAAAAATTTTTTAAAGTAAACACATTATTTTTCGAAAAACCCACAATTACGTGTATAAAAAACCTGCGCAAGCGCTTTAATAGTACAATTTTGTGGGGCTCCCATATATACCCGCTGTTTTATTCTTTACAGGGACAGTTGCGACAACAAAAAGGTCGAAGCTAGATCGCCCAATCAACAGGATTGCATCAACAGACCATACAAAAATTGTAACATTGGTATTGATTCAATTCAAACGTCAAAAGAGAACGATATGAACGGGACAACATATAATTGCACCGAACAAGGTGATGAAAATGCACCAGGATCCATTTGCGGATTAGATAGATTGAAAAATCCCAACATAAACAAGGTAAAATTTATATTATACATTTTTTTTATTGGTTTATAACTTTATGAGGAAATGATTAATTAAAATTTTATGTGACTTCTTTAATTCATTGAATTGCAAGCGATTTTAAGAATTGAATCATATGATTTTAAGAACGTTCATTTACTTTCGTTTGGCCTTCGTCCAGTTTACAAAACCTTAACATTGCGGTGTGCTCCCGATTTAATTTTATCTACCAAAAAAACTAACACAAATAAACAATAATAAATAATAAAGATAACTCAATGATCGAATTAATTACATTGTATCTTAAATTATTAGTTTACGCACGTAGTAGATAAAAACGATAATTTCGGTTATTTTCTATTTCTCCTTAAATAATAATAACCACTCCAAATAGACAGATACAAAGGAAATTTTTTTTTGAATAAATTTAAATAATTCTACACAAAAATATTTACGTCACAGAAAACTTTCCAAATTGGAAATGTTTTTTCGTTATGAATTGCCTGAAATTAACATAGTTTATAGTGTTTTTTTAAATTATAATTAATTTATATCGTGACGGATATTTGTTTGAATCAAGTACTCTTCCATTCCAAGCACCTAAAACAAACAATTTTCTATCTTACATTATACTCCCTCTGATCCAAACAATGGTACACATTTCTCTTTACACTTTGTCTCAAATTATGGTATACAAAACTTTGAAAACTGCTTTATTGTATTTGTAAAATTAGTAAATCAGTTTGTAACTTAAGTTAAACATATATTAATGAAAATTTTACACATTTAAACACAATTTAGCTGGTTCTATGTAAACGCCCTTCATGGTGAAGCTTTTCTTTATTCATGAATTTTCATATTTTTCTCGATATCTATGCGTCTGAGAGCAAAAGCGTAAGAGAGTGCAATTTTGTTAAGAATACAATTTGCTACAACTTTCGTTCGAAAAGTTTTTCTGTAGCATACTCAGATTCAAATTTATTCAATTTTATAGTTGTTGCCTGCTAGGCCATCATGGTTGACTCCATTCGCTTTTGTAGTGTCGAGAATATATATCTAACTTTTCTTTAGTTAATGCGTCGAAGGCACTTTCAACACAATCTATTAATTCATTCATAGTTTTTGGCGATTTTGATATTTTGAGAATTTCTGACTTGAACCTAAGAAATGGTGATATCTATGGTAGCATTGGTTATGAATTATGTTATCTTGATTCATTATCATCCATTTTTATGGGAAACGTTTTGTCTATCACCTTTAATTTTGTACTTATAACAGAATTTAATGCAGTTGATTGTCAATTTCGATATTTTGAGAATTCCTGGCTTGAAGCTAAGAAATGGTGATATCTACGGTGGCAATGACTATGGATCGTGTTATCTTGATTCATTATCATTGATTTTTATGGGAAACGTTTTTCTCTATCACCTTTAATTTTCCACTTATAACAGAATTTAATGCAGATGATTGTCAATTTTGCTATTTTAAGAATTCCTGGCTTGAACCTAACAAATAGTGATATCTATGGTGGCATTGACTATGGATTATGTTATCTTGATTCATTATCATCTATTTTTATGGGAAACGTTTTTCTCTATCACTTTCAGGCTTGTGATTTCCTGGTTTGTGCATAAGAAATTGAGATAACTATGATGGTATTGCTTATAAATTATGTTATCTTGATCCATTATCATNTGAGAATTCCTAGCTTGAACCTAAGAAATGGGGATATCTACGGTGGCATTGACTATGGATCATGTTATCTTGATTCATTATCATTGATTTTTATGGGAAACGTTTTTCTCTATCACCTCTAATTTTCTACTTATAACAGAATTTAATGCAGATGATTGTCATTTGTCATATTTTTGAGAATTCCTAGCTTGAACCTAAGAAATGGGGATATCTACGGTGGCATTGACTATGGATCATGTCACCTTGATTCATTATCATTGATTTTTATGGGAAACGTTTTTCTCTATCACCTCTAATTTTCTACTTATAACAGAATTTAATGCAGATGATTGTCAATTTTGAGAATTCCTGGCTTGAACCTAAGAAATGGTGATATTTAAGATATCATTGGTTATGAATTATGATATCTTGAGTCATTGTCATTAATTTTTATGGGAAACGTCTTTCTCTATCACCTCTAATTTTCTACTTATAACAGAATTTAATGCAGATGATTGTCAATTTCGATATTTTGAGAAATCCTGGCTTGAAGCTAAGAAATGATGATATCTACGGTGGCACTGACTATTGATTATGTTATCTTGATTCATTATCATTGATTTTTATGGGAAACGTGTTTCTCTATCACCTCTAACTTTCTACTTACAACAGAATTTAATGCAGATGGTTGTCAATTTTGATATTTTGTGAATTCCTGGCTTGAAGCTAAGAAATGGTGATATCTACGGTGGCATTGACTATGGAACATGTTATCTTGATTCATTATCATTGATTTTTATGGGAAACGTTTTTCTCTATCACCTTTAATTTTCCACTTATAACAGAATTTAATGCAGATGATTGTCAATTTTGCTATTTTAAGAATTCCTGGCTTGAACCTAACAAATAGTGATATCTATGGTGGCATTGACTATGGATTATGTTATCTTGATTCATTATCATCTATTTTTATGGGAAACGTTTTTCTCTATCACTTTCAGGCTTGTGATTTCCTGGTTTGTGCATAAGAAATTGAGATAACTATGATGGTATTGCTTATAAATTATGTTATCTTGATCCATTATCATGAATTTGGAACCAATCAACTTGGATCTAATGACTGTTACAACCTTATCGATAATCATCTTTTTGCATTCTGCTGCATTAATAGACTCGATGTTTTTGGTCACCATTTTTCCTCTTACCAGGTTCTTGCTATTTCTTTTTACAGGTTCTTTATAAACAAATCATTCATACATACAGAAAATCTTTGTTGAAAATGTGTTCGGCGAGTAATATAAGGATTCTCCACGGCCCAATATATTAGTAAAGTTTGGGTTCAGCTAATGCTGATGTAACAACCACTCGCAAAATTATACTCGAGGGGGATGATCCACTGGTAGTACGGTTCGTACACGTTGCACATGACATGGATGGAGTTGGTTGTACCTCAATATTCGCCAAATTGTGATATTCCATGTTGCTCTGCAAGTATCCTAGTACTTAGGCCAGGCTGCTCTTCAACGACATTCAAAATCTCCTCCTCGACATTAGCAATGTATAAAGGTCTAACTGCTCCTCCATTTTACCCAAGCCTCGGTCGAATATTGCCATTTTCCCTACCGGAATTTCCTGCCGGATGATATCTCTCTGGAAACCTTTCTGCATAGAGACGAGCCGCAAGCACAGAATTTTGTCGTCATTGCCCGGTATGCCAGTGCGCTATAATTTTTATAAGGTTTAAATGTTATTACACAATTTAAATGTCACACAAGCGCACTTACATATTGCTGAAATCTGTCAATGGCAGATCTAGCCACTTTTTCTATATGCAAATGCAAAGGAGATAGGGTGACTAGAACATCCAATTGCCAATCCAGCTATTTTCCATCTTATAATTAGTGAATACTGAATAATGTCTTATATTTAATTCATTGAATTGAGCATTTATTTATTTAAAAATTGTAACTCAAAGTTAACAAATTAGGGCCAATTTTACAATAGTGGTTTAAGCTACGATTAACTTAATCTATGGTTAACTAACAAAAAAATGTGTTACAACTACCGTTAAACGTTAAACTACGGTTAGAATCGACATTTACGTTACGATGTTGTTCACATTTGTTCAATTTGTGCCTAGTGAAAAATTGTTTTAATATTTTATATACCTAATAAATTAAAAAGGAGTTTTACAAAGCTTCAAATAGGTTGAAAATGTACCTAATTAGCTGGTCTAAAACGTTCCAGAAACTCTCGGTCTGACCATTTTTCAAAATGGTTATTCTGCTTACGAAAAACTTTTGCTTTTCTAGGAAAAGCCACCATTTCAACTACTTCTAAGAAATCTTCATCGTCCGTAAGTTCATTAAATACATTATTCACAGTTAAAAAATATTTTTACAAAATGAAAATCAAACAGTTACAAAATACAAAATTAAGAGGTTATAATTTTGACAGATACTAAACAATGAAGTTAGTTATATTATGTACAATATGACATTGACACTTATTTACCAACTGTAGTATAAACCTCCGTTTCTTAAACTTAGTTTAATAATTCGTTGTAAAACATAATTTTTGTAAAATTTAGTTTAAATTTTAACTGCCGATTAGTTAATCGGTCGCTTAAACTATGATTGTAAAACCGGGCCAATGTCAACAAAAAGCATTATGTTTAGTGACGCCATCTATTGCGGAATAGACGAACTAAATGTTAATCAAAATTGTTTGTAATTCCTTGTACCTATTCATTAAAATCGCTTGATTAATCGTTTTGTGAAAATTCCAAAGGTTATATCTTCATGAATTTCATTTTAAATCATTCTCGGCTCTTCTCCAACACATCGTGCTTTTTTATTACATATTTTCCACATTCCTCCAATTTTGATGTCTTCACAAATTTCTCTGCGAAATTAAGTAATCATTTAATAATTAAATTCACTCTACGAATATTATAACCGTAAATGCGTCACTAGAGGAAAGTTTTAAATTCGTTATTTGACGTTTCCACTTTTTAATTACTTGTTTAAACCGTTATATTATGATATTAACTAATTAAAAACTCGTAAAATAAATGTTGCGTGTGTCCCCTAATTTGTATCATAAAATATTGAGACATAACTAAATTTAAAGATGGTTTATTACTTTTAGGATAACTTCAATATGTATCTAACTTCAGATATATATAAAACTGAATGTCAAAAAATCGCAGAATAAGCTTAACTTTGTAAAATCCATAAAATCAACAATAAAACCATCAAAATTTATTTCAAAGCCTCATCTATAGTTTAAAAACCTCTGCTAATGGCAAATATCTGTAAGTCTCCTAAATTCCTAAAGTGCTTCTTCTTAATTCACTACCGATGTGGCGATTATCAATTTGAGGTTATGTTCCATTTGAGTTTGAGGTTATTTAGTATTTCTAACTTTATTATCACATATTTTTTAATTAACAAATCAACCTTTAAAAAATATTATCGCAACCATGAATCATTCATAAATAATTTAACCTTCAGAATCGAATTAAAACTAGAACCGACTCCAATTTCAAAAGTAATAATTTCTCCACAATCGTAGAAAATGTTGCATCATCGTCACATTTCGACTTTACACTTTAATTAAAATCCTTGTTCACTCATTATTAAGTTAGCCGTAAAAATGTTAACGTTAATTTAGAAATAATTTAACCTTGAACGATCCCTGAAGATATCGGCTCAGCTGAGGAAAGTAATTGTTGCATCATTAAAATTGTTTTGATATTTAGACTTTGCACATTACAACGCAAGGAGAATCCGCAAAATCTTACTTATCACAACAAAATTAATTTAATGCCTTGTTTGTTTTGACTGAATCGGTGTTTAAGATTAAGAAGTTTCTAAAAATACTTTTAAGCGGAACGATCAAATACCATGACCAAGCGAAAGTGTTTTTTGAAATCCTGAAAATGGAGAAATTCATTTAAAAGTGACACAGCCTTTTTTTTTTAATGCAACTACATAATTACATCGGTGATTGCGTGCTAAAGGAAGTTATTATGCAACTATTACTGAATTGTTAAACGTAAAAAAACAACTACTCAACAAAATTCGTCTTTGTTGTTGCTTTTAAGATTTTTATGTTTTTATTCAATATCTAAACATCCAGGAAATGAATAAAAATTAAAAAAAGACAACCTTGAACATCGCGTTTAGTTTATTACATCATAAATAAACTCCGATAACTAAAATAAATAAATTGTTATTAAAGTATTTGTTTAGACTAGATCTAAAAGGACTTTTAGAACGTGAGAATGTCTATTTTACAATTTCATTGTCTTTTACGATCAATATAACTTGACCTAGTTCATACAACTATAGATTTTTTTTTCCATTAAGCAATTTTTTTCATTTTTTTTAAAGGGACAAGCTTTTACTATCGAAGAAAGACAAGCTTTGGGAATCCATGGATTACTTCCACCGGCCGTAAAAAGTATTGAAGACCAATTAGTACAAGTCGATGCGCTTTTGAAACGTCTAGAAAGACCTCTAGACAAATTTTTATGCGTCATGAATTTATACGTGAGTAAAAAATACTTATTTTTCAAAAATTAATTAACATTCAACGTCAAAAAATTTGGAAAAATTCAAGAATCATCATGTGGCTTAAAAATTGACGATTTCGTTTTAAGCCGCCTTAAAAGACGGACGGCTAAACCCATGATACTAGGAATACAGAGATTTTATGCTTGCAAAGTGTAAAGTATAGCTTTTCTTCAAAAATCTCTATGTAATCATCTATTATTACTTTCCAAATCAGAAACAACTGCACATATATAGAATCCCTTATCTTCCACATATTTTATTATCTCCTCTACTCTATTTTTTTGTTAAATTACAATCATAATCAAAGAAGATGAGTTTCTTCCTTACATAATTATATGGTAATAATTATGTGCGTTTATCCATAATTTTCTTAAGGTCGAATCCTTTGGATATGTATTAAATCTTACAGTACCACTTTTAAATCCCACACTTTGATTGTCGTTGTTGCAACCAAATACAGAACACCGCATTTTTCTATTGTTTGCGTTGAACTTTTTAGGTTATTTTTTCTATAAAGTAGACGGTTATTTCAATAATTATAAATTAGCTACTATAACATACCACTTACCATAATTCTATAATCAAATAATATAAAAATAAGCACTATAACACTTCAAAAAGTTCTAGTTTTAGTTCAATATAAAGTTCCTTTATTCGAATTTTTTAAACGCCACTCTCTTAGTGACGTCACGCATGCATTGTCCGCCATCTTGACGATGCGCAATAGCCTACCTGTAGATTCCTAGTATCATGGCTAAACCTGAATGTTTCTGGTTCTAGGTCTAGTGTTAGTTCTACTTTCTTTCAATAAAAATATACCACAATCTAATACTAAACAACATTTATGTATTTATTTATTAGCACCACAACATATACATATAGAATACAATAGCACAAAAATAATAACAGAACTGCCAATAACAGGACCAAGTCAAGATACACAAGTACCTTGTTTTTTGTTGGCCCTACCGAGGAGTTATAAAAACTTAAATAACAATTAAGAAAAATTCAAATTAAATTTATTATAAGCGAAGAAGAATCAAAAGGAAGGAATATGCAGAGGTAGATGCAAAAATTTATGCAAAAATGTATCTACTGTTCGTACAGACATGTTTCAAAATTCGCCTTGAAACCCAGCACACTCTCCTGCTTTCTCGAATCCGCAATTTTGTTATAAACATTCGGCATACAATACAAAAAAATCGTTTAAATAATTGTAAACGATGTCAGGGTATCGTTAGTGTATGCTTATGCCTTACGTTAATGTTATGAACATCGCTGCGGAAACTTATTTTGTGATACAAGTAAGGTGGGGATTTGTACAGAATCACTTTATGATAAAAACAGGATTTGTAGAGGGTCCGGGGCCTGGACATATTCAGCCAAGGAACCCAATTTAGGGTATGTGAAACACGTTCACGTCTCTTTATACCATGCATAAAACGCAAGCACAAATTTTGCACCCGTTAAATTTTAGCAATCAACACGGAGTCAATACACGAGTCGTAAACAACATCACCGTATTTATATATAGATAACACCAAGGCATCACACAGACGTATCTTTAACTGATGGTCTAAAATATGACGGCCCGAATATAAAAGTTTCAATGTTGTGTACTCTCTCTGAAGCAAGTTAGTTATATGTTTACTAAATCTCAATTCAGAGTCGACAACCAAGCCCAAGTTACCACATTTAGCATTTGACACATATACCAGGAGCCACAGTGAAACAATCAGGAACACCACCACACCCAAAGACAACAACCGACGACTTCGAAGGATTGATTATAAGGCAGTGCCTAACCGCGAACGTGATTAGGCCGTTCAGATCTTTATTTATATTATCCCGTGCAGCCAAAGCATCCGATTTAGAAAAGCTGTAATAGAGCTGCGTATCATCAGAATGCATATGAACATTATATTGGGCCCAAAATGGAACCCTGTGGCACTCCCGATGTGATGCTACCTGGTCTAGACAATTCATTGTTAAAATCAACTAATTGTAATCTGTTGCAGAAGTAGCTTCTAAACAAGCGTATAGCTACATCTGATAGACTAATGAAATGAAGAATTGAAAAGAGAGTTTCATGATGCAGTACATCAAAAGCCTTAGAGAAATCAAGTAGTACAAGCGCGGTGCTAATACCCACATCCATCGCCCTAAAAATATCATCGGTCACATCCAACAGAACAGATAAGCAACTGAAGCCACGCCTAAATCCAGACTATTTGCTAGGAAGGATACTAAATCTTTCCAAGTGCTCTCTCAGTCTGGTAGCAATTATTCTTTCAAAAACCTTCGACAGAACAGGCAAAATACTTCTAGGCCTAAGATCCTTCAATTGAGATGGGTTGTTGGTTTAGGCTAACGGAAGCATCAAAGCGACCTTCTAATCATCAGGAAAAACGGAATGTTCAATACAAAAGTTAAAAATATTACAGATAAATGGCAAAATAGTTGGATAGCAAAGTAATAACATTTTCCTACTGATCTGGTCGGCACCTACGGCATTAGTTTTAATACTAAGCAAGGCTTCTAAAATTTCCTCTTCAGAGATAAAGGAAAAGGATAAGGTTTCAGTTGCCTGCGCTAAAACGTTGGAACTATAAGAAGCAATCAGGTCCGCATCTGCAGCAAGTTGGTTTTGGGAACCCAAGAAATAATCATTGAGTGAGTCCGCATTACCAATATTGTCCGGAATTTGCTATGGCAAACATCAAGTGTACAATCAAAAAGACGGGCGAGGTATGTTTTTTTGTCGCGTTGAATGGAAGAGTTTGTGAAATTACGCAGTTGTTTATAATAACGAAAATGTGCCACGTCACCAGAGGCCCTGAACCTACGATACGCCCGGTTTCGAAGTTTCATGAATAGCTTAATATTATCGGTAACACACTGGCGGTGGCGAGCACGCAGCAAAATATCCCGCATAGGGACGTGCAAATCAAACAGTGAAATGATGTATTGGTTCAGGAAAAAGACCCTAAAATTTCTGCGAATAACACTTTTAGGCGCAACAACGTTAGAAATAAAGTTAAAAGAAGCATAAATCAATGAGTTATCAGACACGTCATAAGTGACAATCAGTGACAATATAATCAATGAGGGACGATGAAGTAGTTGTAACACGGGTAGGCGAATCTACAATTTGATGCAAGTGAAACTGAGCCAAGGCAGGAACAAAGAAACGGTCATACGTACCATTCACCTCCAAGCCATCAACATTAAAATCTCCTTATTCAAATCGACCAATACATTCAAAAGTTATTTCAATTTGAAACTGGTCATCATACTAGGTGATGCGTTTTTTATGCCGCTGAGTGTACAATGCTAAAAACGAGGTATTATTGAAAAGAAAAAACAAAAGAATAGTTGTTTATGACAACTATTTCCCGACAAAATATTGGAAAAGGTTAACCCGCTGCCGTCACCTACCGAGCCAGCAAGTGCTTCTTAAGTTTACGCCTGAAACGATGCTCACTGCCAAAGTTAATTTCATTTGGGATTGAATTATAAACACTAGACACAACATAAGAGTAGGATCTTTTAAAAATTTCTAAACGATGTTTAGGTATCGTTAAAGTATGCCTGTGTTTAATGTTTAGGTTGTGGACATCGGTTCTAAACGTAAGTTTATGCTGAATTCAGCGAATATCATCAGCATCGATGCATGAATTATAAAGCGCATCGCAAAAATTTAAGAGAGCACTAGTGCTTCACATAAGTGAGCTCTAAGTCGACGGTGTAGCATATGTCGATTGTTATAAAGCAGCTTCAAAGTGCAATATGCCGAGCTAATAAGCCTACTAATATGTTTTTTGAACCTCAGACGAGAGTCCATAATAACACCAAGATTGCGAGTTTGAGAAGAAGTCTATCATGGGTCACGCACTGAAATCGATTACAAAGATAACATTTTAGCAAAGAGATGGCTGAATCAGATAACCCTATATAATATAAGATCGAAAACAAAGTTTCGTGATGTAACGTGTCGAACGGTTTTGAAAAGTCCAATAAGACAAGTGCAGTGAGAAATCCATCGTCTACTTTCCTCAATATGTCGTCAGTGACATCCAGAAGTGCAGTGGTGCAATTGAAGCCAAGGTGGAACCCAAACTGTTTAGGTGGGAGGATATTATTTTTAGTAAGATAAGCTCTTAACCTCTCGGCAATAAACTTTTCTAAGATTTTTGATAGAATGGGAATACTGATGGGCCTAATATCTTTCAAACCTGAAGGGTTTTTATTTTTTGGGATAGGCATTATCAAAGCAATCTTCCATTGGCCAGGAAACACCGAAAATTCCAAACAGAAATTCATGACATAGTACTAGCATTTTTTTACTAATTTTATTATTACCAATTGATTCAGTTTTAATGGAAATTATTAACTGAGCAATCTCCTCTTCCGATGATAAGTCAAAACTTAGAGGTGTAGTGACAGACAACATTCGATGATTGTTATAGAAATTCTGCAAATCACGATCACCCGAGGAATTAACCTATGTCGATTGAAAATAACAATTCATTTGATTAGGTGTACCCAAAGTGTCCGAAATGTTTGGACGTCTGATAGGAGTAGCACCCAGGGATTTAATAGAACTCCATAATTTACGAGAATCGTTTCCAGAAAATAGGTGTGTAAGAAAAGCGCGCTTTTCGCGAAGCACGGACGAGTTGATAAAATTTCTCAGAGATTTATAATAATCGAAATTATGTGGATGTTTAGTTTTTTTTTAATTTAAGTAAGGTTTATCTCAAAGTCTCATTAACATTCTGACATTATCAGTAACACCAGGGCAGTAATGTTCATGGGCAATCTTTGTTATCAAAGATATTGAGAATGTGATTATTCAAAAATTCTACTTTCGCATTAATATTGTCAAAGTAAACAAGTTCCAACCACGGTATTGCATTCAGATCAAAGTTCTTGTAATCTCGATATGTAATCATTCTAGGTTGTGTAGCTTGAGGAGTAAAATCAAGAACAAGGTATATTAGACAGTGATCAGAAATGTCATGTATGGTAACCACACCTGAGTCAATCACCGGGACATCAATATTTGTAACAATATAGTCGATTAGCGTAGCTGACGTTGTTGTAATTCTTGTAGGAATTGTTATACCTTGTTGCAAGTCAAACTGCTCTAAAATGGGAACAAACCTATTACCGTATGTACCATTGATGTAAAGCCCGTTGAGGTTAAAATCTCGTTACCCTAATCCACAAATGCTCAATATGCTGATTGATTACCTGTAATAAGACGTTAAATTTATAATTGAGCTTGACGTAAATGCAAACACCACCACCTCCACCTAGATTGCTACGGCTAGATTGACGTAAGAGTCCCACGAAAATGTTCACATAATTGTTGATTGAGTATGTCGAGACATTGGTGTCCGCATAAATCCATGTTTCAGTTACTGCGAAAAAATCGTAATCACCGTGTTCAATAACGTGTCGTATGGCTGGAAAGTGAGCAGGCAGGGACCTAACATTTAAATGGCCAAATTTCATGTGGCTTTATATAAACCTATCTTCTATATATATAAAAATGAATGTTTGTCTGTATGTCCTTTATAGAATCGTAAACTATGCATTTGATCATGTGATGATCTTTAGCAAAGTTGTTGTACATGAGCCCACGAAGGTTTCTAAGTTGGTAGGACCAATTTTCGACAATTCACGAATGCTGATTTTTTTCACTTCAAATTTTCCTCATGGAATTGGTGATCACTGTCAGTATTAACATTTCCATCCGTGTGTAAACAGCCGGTTCAATTATATTGGATACATTGTGAGATTCGGATTGCTGCAATTATGCCTCCAAAGTGACAAGCAATTGGCCGATCTACACCTCAAGCACGGAAGAAAAGAGCGTTACGAACCTTAGAATCAGACGAGCAACGAGCATTAAGGCTGGAAAATCTTCGAGTACATGCCGTTGAGACCCGTTCGTCTGAACCATCTGAACAATGAGAAGTGAGGTTAGAAACTGATCGAATACGTACTACTCAGGCCTGTTCGTCTGAGACAACTGAATAACGGGAAAGAAGGCTGCAAAATGTTCGAATAAGCACCGCTCGATCAAGACGAACACTGCACGCTGATTTAAATCTTGGTGCATTCCATTATGACAGTAATAATGATTACAGTAAATAATATTGCACTGGCCATTGCATCATCTGGAATTGCGGCAACTCTTTTGGATGGTGGCCGAGCAGCGCATTCAGCATTGAAACTGTCGTTGAATTTGCAAAACACTGAGGCACCAACATGCAACATCAGCAAAAACTCTGGAATGGGCAAAGTACTCCAAACCTGTCAAATTATCATATGGGACGAATGTACAATGTCTCACAAGAAAGCATTGGAAGTGTTTGATCGTACACTGCGAGATTTGAGAGGAAACGCACGGATCTTCGGTGGCGCACTCATTTTATTGTCTGGCGATTTTCAACAAACACTGTCGGTTATACCACGTTCAACACCCCCTGATGAACTTAATGCATGTCTCAAATCGTCAGTTTTATGGCGTCATTTACAGGAATTCCGCGTACAACTACAACGGGATGCATCGGCTGAAAATTTTGCAAAACAATTAATGGATATTGGAAATGGGCGAAAGCAAATTGATGAATCTACGCAATGTATCACCTTGCCAGCAAACTTCTGTAAGATCACAGAAAGCATAGACGAATTGGTGCAAAAAGTTTTCCCAAACATTGCACAGAACCAAGAACTACAAAAATCATTAGTGGCTCAGTACGCGTGCTGTATTAGCGGCCAAAAACATCGATGTCAATGCCATCAACTTCACCATTCAGAATGGAATACACGGCAAAACGACAACATATAAGTCCATCGATACTGTGGTGAATCAAGACGTTGTTGTCAACTATCCAACTGAATTCTTGAATTCGCTTGATTTGCCAGGCATGCCACCGCAAGTTCTTACATAGAAAATTGGCGTACCCATCATTTTTCTTCGAAACATAAATCCACCACGACTTTGCAACGGAACCAGACTCTCAGTCAAGAAAATGATGAACAATGTTGTCGAGGCAACAATTTTGACTAGAAAATTCAAAGGTGAAAACGTACTGTTGCCACGTATCCTAATGATCTCGACAGATATGCCATTTGAATTCAAACGTTTGCAGTTCCCGGTACGACTCGCTTTCGCAATGACTATCAACAAAGCACAAGGACAATCGTTGCAAGTGTGTGGATTAAATTTGGAGAATCCATGCTTCTTACATGGGCAGCTCTACGTGGCCTGCTCACGCGTCGGAAAACCTTCTGATTTATTCGTTTACACACCAGATGAAAAAACAAAAAAAACAGCACTTCAATAAATATCGAATTGAAACGAAACGCGGCAGTGTCACAATTTTTTCAAAATGAACAAAATCAATAAAATGACTCAAAATGAATTGAATATTTGCGTAATGTCTTTCCTTCCAATTTATTTTAGTTGAAGGCGTAGCAAGGCGCGCAGGGTACAGCTAGTTAATAAAAAAAGAAAACACAAATAGCCTCGCTTCATCTGTCTTGTACGTCTGGGGAAAGGTTTATTTACTTGAACTACTGAATCATAATTAGACAAGGAGTTACACTGATAAGCATATTTTATTTTAACACTAATGGAAAATTGTATATATGGTGATTTACCGTTAGCAACACAGTTAGCAACGAAAATGTTTGGAATCAGTATAAGCTCCGCCCATCTCTGTGACGTCAAGGCTTAGGTTGTTTATTCGGCTTGGTTTATTCGTTGACGTCACAAAAAGTGACGTCACGTCGAAACTTTAAAGTGATTTTTCGGTAAGTTTTACACTTTTCCGCACTTTTTTTTTATTTGTAACGGCTGACTTGAGTCATTCCCTATCGATTAAAAAGAAATTGTCGATTTTTAAGCAACATGATGTTTCTTGAATTATACCAAAAATTAGATATAATTTCTATTTTATCGACATTTTTAAATTAAAATTATTTTTAGGCAACCAAATATACATTTATTTTTATTTAAAAAATTTTTTTTAGGATTTAAATAGAAATTTATTTTTCAAATATTTTCATCAAAACATAATGAATGTAATGCCAATAATTTACACCCCAACTGTTGGCGAAGCCTGTTTAAAATACAGTTTAATTTTCGATCGTCCTCGTAACCTTTACATCACTATTTATGATAAAGGACACTTATATAGCGTTCTAAAAAATTGGCCCGAAAGAGATGTGAAATTCATCGTTGTAACTGATGGTGAAAGAATTTTAGGGTTGGGTGATTTAGGAGTTAACGGAACTCCTATTCCGATAGGAAAGTTAGCTTTGTACACGGGAATAGCGTCGGTAAAGCCGCATCAATGTTTACCGATTACCATAGATGTTGGTACGAATAACAAAGAATTTTTAGCGGACCCTCTTTATATTGGACTTAGACAAGAAAGGGTTCGAGGAAAAGATTACGATGATTTATTAGACGAATTTATGGATGCTGTTGTTCGAAGATTTGGGGTGAACACTTTAATTCAATTTGAAGATTTTGGAAACAGTAATGCGTTTAGATTATTAAATAAATATCGAAATCGCTATTGCTGTTTTAACGATGATATACAAGGAACGGCAAGTGTTGCTGTCGCCGGGGTTTTGGCTGCAACAAGAGTTTTAAAGAAAAAAGTTTCTGATTTAACCATCGTTTTCTTTGGAGCTGGTGAAGCTAATTTAGGTATCGGAGAATTATTAACCATGGCAATGATTGAGGAGGGTATGCCGGAAAGCGAAGCAAGAAAGCGATTATGGTTTTTGGATAGTAAAGGGTTATTAGTGAAAGATCGACCGGAAGGGGGAATTACCGAACATAAAAAGCCTTTCGCCCATGATGCACCTCCCCTTAAAAATTTGATTGATGTGGTTAAAACGTACAAACCTGATGTTTTAATTGGAGCTGCTACAATTCCGGGAACGTTTACGAAAGAAGTTTTACAAGCGATGGCTGCACAAAAACAAAACCCGGTTATTTTTGCTCTAAGTAACCCCACTTCAAAGGCTGAGTGTACAGCGGAGGAAGCTTATACTCATACGGAAGGTCGTTGTTTGTTTGCTTCGGGTTCACCGTTCGATCCTGTTACATATAATGGAAAAACTTACATTCCCGGTCAATCAAATAACGCTTATATTTTCCCAGCCGTTGGGATGGCTGCTTCTTTAACTGGTGTTCGTCGTATTACTGATTCAATGTTTTTAAGAGCAGCATCGGTGAGTTAAAAATTAAATAATTTTAGCTTATGTTGTTATAATTTCTTTTTAATATTATTTTAATAGGCTTTAGCTGAATCGGTGAAAGAAGAAGATCTTCAAAACGGATGTTTATTCCCCCCAATTATGGAATTAACTCAAATATCTGAATATGTAGTAACAAAACTTATGGAATTTGCATACGAAAAAGGTAATTATTTATTAATTCAAAATTTAAATACTCCTTTGTTCCAAATTATGGTATACAGACTGGTTCAAATTTGATGTCCGAATAGGCTAACTCGGAAACTATAAGAGTTAAAAAAAAAGTAGCTTACATGTCGTGATCTCGTTTTTCGAGAAACTGCTAATGCCGAAAACATCAAAGCGTCTTTTGTTTTTCCCCTAGAGGCCAAAATTGAAAATATCGTAAAACCAACAAGTGCAATTATCTTGGTTATTATTATAGATGGAGTATTATAACTAAGACATTATATGGACACTTTTTTACAGAGAATTTCATGACGTAGTCAACAAACATTTTTAGTTTTTTTAAATGGAAACAACCACTGATTATTCGCTTATTAAATTCGTTATTTTTTTCTAATTACAAAAATATAGGGTTTGACAGGTCTATTTCTTATTGTTTTAGAATAAAGCTAAATATAAACTTTTTTTAGTGTCGTCAAAGAAATTAAATTTACAGTTTCCTGTAAATTATAACTAAAAATTAAGAAAACATATTTCTGATATTTGAAACAAATACATTTGTTGAACTATTTAATTTATATTTGTTTTACACAAAAGTTGGAATAGATTGCATTATTTCACATTTTTTATTAATATTTAATATTATTATTAAATGAGTTAATAGATTATTGATAGATGGCGCTCATATATATATATATACAGTGACTCAAAAAACCACTGACAGACTTCTAGAGTAGATAATACGTGAAAAATTAAGATGTATAGTCTTAATATGCATGGGGTCGCAAATGCCTCGTTGGCGAGATATAGCAGATCAAAGTTTCTTTAAAATTAAATATTATCTGCAAGAAAAAGCTCTTTTTGAAAAATATTGTCTACGCCATTGCCCAGTAAACAAATTTGCGTTTCAGAAACATTTCTGATATATATTATTGAAACTTGAAACGTTTCTTCGACATATTTCTGAAACATAGATGAAATGTGTCTGAAACTGCTAATGTCCGACCCTTTTTATGTTTTATTGAAACGTTTCTATTGAAACGTTTCTGCATAATGTTCTGTTTACATTTACATTACATTAATGGTATGTATCATAAACATTTAAAAATAATTTCCGAAATGTTTCGTTTTACACGCGTAGAGAGCATGTGTAAAGTGATCAATTATTTATCAATTGGTCTCTTACAAAACTTTGATCAAGCAATAATTTTTAAGAAAAACACGTTTGTAGAAAATTTGTTAATTCAATCAAAAACTGTTACTTTAATCAAACTTTTGTAAGAGACCAATTGATAGATAATTGATCACTTTACACGAAAATACTGCCCGGTTGACAAAATCAGCAGTGGAGTTGAAAATATTTTTAAAAATAGGCTTTTTATTGCAGATAATGTTTAATTTTAAAGAAACTTTGACCCGCTATATCTCGTTAAGGAGGCATTTGCGACCCCATGTGTATTAAGACTTTTCATCTTAATTTTGATGTAGTACCTGCCCTAGAAGTCTGTCAGCGGTTTTCTGAATCACCCTGTATATATATTTTTTAATTCAAATAAACATAGCAACATTTGTTTATATCTTTGATTATATATAATATGAATAGAGCTAACTGAATATATCTACTAACAAAAATGTTGCTCAAGGTGAATAGACGCAGATGGAAAGCGATAATGTGAAAGTGTAACAAAGATAGATATATTATATGTCAGTACGCTTCTATATCTATCTCACTTCTATCAGTACACCCATTATATGGCAGTACGCTTCTATGTCTATCTCGGTTCGATCACCTTGCGCAAGCTATCTCTCTCGTTGGCTCAATCCATATTATATATAATCAAAGGTTTATATTCAAAAATTTTCTAAAGTGTCAAATTATAAATCCTGTTTTTTAAGATGGATTACGAAAATTACGAAAAGTTTAACATGTTAGAATGTTACATATTAGAAAATAAAGTAAATTTTATATAAATTTTTAGTAGAATAATTTTTAGTTATAGTACCGTAATTTACAGGAAACTGTAAATTTAATTTCTTTGACGACACTAAAAAAAGTTTATTTTTAGCTTTATTCTAAAACAATAAGAAATAGACCTATCTACCTTAATAAGCGATTGTCACAATATCTCAAAATCTAAAACCGAAAATTTTTTTTTGACTACGTCATCAAATTCTCTGTAAAAAAGTGTCCATATAATGTCTTATCGTTAGTTATTATATTAGCACTTGCTGGTTTTCTCGAGCAGTTTCTCGAAAAACGAGATCATGACATGCAAGCAACTGTTTTTCTACCTCTTATAGTTTCCGAGATAGCCTATTCGGACATCGAATTTGAACCAACCTGTACATTTCTCTAAAATTTATGGATTAAGGAAAGTTTGTAGAATTAACGAGTTTCTAGCCCTTTAATATAATCTACATGCGGTGTTCTAATAAAGTATTAGGCGGCTATGTTTAAAAACAGTTTAATTGTTACGCATGCGTCAGTTGAGAAATATCAATACACTACCTAAGTCTGACGTCACAGAGATGGGCGGAGCTTATACCGACTCCAAACATTTTCGTTGCTAACTGTGTTGCTAACGGTAAATCACCATATGCATATTTTATTTTCAAACTAAGTGATGACATTCCAAATGACATTTTTTGGCGATTTATCATTAGCAACGAAATTGTTTAGAGTCAGTATAAGCTCCGCCCATCTCTGTGACGTCAGACTTAGGCAGTCTATTTCGTTGGTAACGACAAATCACCATAAAAATGTCATTTAAAATGTCATTTAGTTCATTTTATTTTAATATTATTTTCGTGGCATAAATTTAATCACAAATAGTAGAGTCAAAATGATGTTTCGTGTAGAGTTTGATTTTGTACTTTTCAACTGGTTTCTATTTTATATAGAATTTAAGTGTAACTAGTTTCGGCCCTCTACGTAGTTTCGAAGACTCTACGAATAGGTTAACATCCCTCATCCTATCCATTTTACAAACAACCTTCTTAATATTTCTTTTTCTTTTGTTAAAAAAGATCACATATCAAAGTCGAAATCAGATTATTAGTTACTAATTTACAAAATTAAAGTTTAGAAAGTTGTAAAATGAAATTAAGAAACTTGGGAAAAATTCGAGAATCATCATGTGGCTTAAAAATCGACGATTTTTTTTGAACCAATGTGAAATGACCCAAAAAACACACCCTTGTTCAAAATTGCGAAACATTTAACAAAATGTAACAAATGAGGATAATTTTAAGGCGGATTTCTAGGACACGGTTAATATCAAAAACTACCCCTAACAGTAACGAATCATGGAAACTCATCACTACAAGTAATGATGCATGTAAAAACTTTGTACAAAGCAGACAATATTGCCGTATTTGCAACAAAATCAGGCAAATTGATATTCGATCTTGCCATTAATTGGGTCAAACACTTTTTTTTACAAAACACCCGGGAAAAGTCGGTTCTTTTGTTAGATTGTTGGACTGGCCAGACTGAAAAAAATTTGACAATATTTATATACAGGTGCCCATTATGTATGGAATATAGTATATATCTTGGTAGGTATCAACTTTATAAAAAACAGTTTATACAAAAGTTGTTTAATATTTGATTTGCCATAATAAGACTGCCTTCAATTGTTTTTAATTCAGAAAACAAATATATTCCATACATAATGGGCACCCTATATGTAATAAAAACATCAAAATTTTTACAACTGAATTCATTCAGCCGCTAGACGTTCATACTTTTAGGCCTTGGAAGAATTTTGTAAGACAATTTTCTGACATAATTTGCTGTATAATTATGATGTAAATTTGTATTTACTGAACCAAAATACATCATCCTCAAAATACAGTCTTTAATACACAACCAGTTTTCTTCTCCGAGATTTAAGATTATAATATTTCGATACGCTTGGTGGAAGTGTGGGTATATTGCAGAAAAATCCGACAAATGCGAATCCCCTGCAGACTTACAACAAACCAAAACCTGTACCAGAACCAGGCCTACACCAAAACCAGAGAAACATCCCCAAACCATCACAGAACCACCTCCATGTTTTAATGTTCGCTGCATGTACTTAGAAGTCAGCCTTTTTCCAATTGGACGCCTCACATATTGCACTCCCTCACTTTTAAATAAGTTAAACTTGGATTCATCACCAAAATATACCTTTTTCCATTCGTTGTATATCCACTCTTGATGGGTGCGTGCAAACAGTAGTCTTGCAGCTTTATTCATAAAAGTGGTTTTTTCGCTGGTCTTCGGGCAAACAGTTTATTTTCAATTAATCTTTTGCGTATTGTATGTGTTGATACCTCCAAATTGTGTGTTTCTTGTAACTTGTTTCGTGTAATGTTAATAAAAAATACTGTTAATGTGTAAACATTTGTAAGTTCCGCTGCAGGAACTTTCGAAATATGGGATGATGTTTTGTCCCGTATTGTCATCTTAAAAATACGGGACGCAGGCTGATTTTGAGGCTGAAAAACGGGACGCCCCGTAAAATACGAGACATCTGGCAAGGGCGCTTACCTGATTCTATTATGTGCAACCAAACTGCCATTGAAACAATTGAATTGTGTTTAAATGTGTAACATTTTCATTAATGTATGTTTAAATTAAGTTACAAATTGAATAACTAATTTTACAAATACAATAAAGCAGTGTTGTAACAACACCTTGAAAGTGTTGTATACCATAATTTGGGACANTTATTTCACCACATACATTTAAATGTAGGTTATGTTAGTAATGGAGGTTATATGTCAAACATTGTCAAAAATATTATTTAATGATTTTCCTTTCAAAGAAAACATTTTCGGCTTGTGAAAACACTAGATTCATGACAACGCTCACAAGACGTTTCGATTTGAGGTTATAATTATAGAGTTACATCCCTTAGAAGAACAGATGTACTTTTTCGACGTGGCCATTTGAATTGTACAGCAGACATATTAAACTAATGCTATCTCTTTCTAACACACATTACTCTCTAGCGATTTGTGAACTACGTATGGCATTTATAAGAGCGGAAAATGATGATTTACTGCCAGCTCTCGTGGCCTCTACTATAACGATAAATTGCCATAAAAATGTCTTTTAAAATGTCATTTGGTTCATTTTATTTTAACACTAATTGAAAAATTCCATAGCGATTTACCGTTAGCAACACAGTTAGCAACGAAATTGTTTGGAGTCGGTTAAGCTTCACCCATCTTTGTAACGTAAAGGCTTAGATTGTCTATTTGTCCGACAATTGGACCGCGTTATGCATTACTTGACTAAGCGAGAAATGGACAATGTTGAGAAAAACGGGATTTTCGTTTTCATCTCTCTAAAAATATGACTTCTCAGAATAGACAGGTTCAAACTATTGAAAATTTTTTGATGCCTAAAACACAAATACAAATATGTATTTGTATACAAATATGTCAAAATTAATAGTTGAACGTTCGAACTTTTTGGTTTTTTTGAGAGAAATGCGTCATGTTTGGACTCATTTTAAGGTTATTTTGTGAAGATTACGAATATAATAATAAAATTAAAGTTGACATTGACAACTGAAAGTTTTTTTCACGACTAAACCCGAATCTTTCTAGTTCTCGTTCTAGTTCAATAAAAATATACTACAACAACAAGTAATATCTGTAGTTCAACATAGTAATATCTTATGCTAACTAGCGCTATCTACCACTGCCACTAGAACTAACACTAAACCAAGAACTAGAAACATTCGGATTTAGTCCCACAACTCTCAAGACGGCTATACCCGAATGATTCTAGTTCTAGGTCTTGTGTTAGTTCTAGTGATAGTAGTAGTGTAAAACTAGAACTAACGCTAGACCTAGAAACATTCGGGTTTAGCCGTGCGTCTCTAAAGGCGGCTAAAGCCGAATGAGTCTAGTTCTAGGTCTTGTCTTAGTTCTAGCGATAGTGCTAGTGTTAGTTTTAGTACAATAAAAATATGCAACATAGTGATATCTTATGCTAACTAGCGCTACCTACCGCTGTCGTTTGTAAAATGGATAAGATGAGAGGTGTTAATCTATTTGTAGAGTCTCTGAAGATGGCCAAGGGCCGAAACTAGTTAGACTTAAATTCTATATAAAATAAAAGACATAAACTATTTTATACTAACATCTAGAAAACGACACTAGGAAAATGCCATACAGCTGTTTTCTTGAAACTTAGCATACAAGTAATGTATGGAAATATATTCGATGTCATTTCTGCCCGATCGCCGTTTTTGGAGATAAGTGCGATTATTTTACGAATTATTTTTACGATTGTTGCGATATCATGTCACTAGGGGTTTTGGGGTCGCTGATGACAAATCTGTGTCCGTGTTCGAGAATTCAAAGTGGCAAAAAAATTGTACACTCTTGTTAAAAATTGCGAAAAATTGAAAAAAATGTAACAAATGAGGATAATTTTAAGACGGATTTCTAGGAAACGGTTAATATCAAAAACTATCCCTAACAGGAACGAATCATGTAAAAACTTTATACAAAGCAGACAATATTTGCCGTATTTGCAACAAAATCAGGCAAATTAACATCCGATCTTGCCATTAATTGGTTCAAACACGTTTTTTTACAAAACACCCGGGAAAACTCTGTTCTTTTGTTAGATTGTTGGACTGGCCAGACTGAAAAAAAATTGACAATATTTATACAGGATGTCAGATAAAAAACGCCCCAAGCTGTAACACTGTCATTTACATTCCGATTTTCATGAGCGAGGTATCAAATGAAATGGTTTGAGGAATACTATGATGCATGCTACAAATAATTTTTTTCCAACGCCATCTTCAATTTCAAGCGATTATTAACTTTTGTTTTTCAAATGGCTGCGTATATTTTTCTTCGCGTCATTGGATAGAGTTTGTTTTTCTGAATCCATTGATGTACAATACATCCATTTTAAATACAATATTAGCAGAGAAAAGACACCTGTATATGCAGGTTGTCACACAAGGATGCCGCAAGCTGTAACTCTGTCATTTACATTCCGATTTTTATGAGCTAGGTTATGTTATGAGCAAATAAGGGACGATGTTCTGCCCCGTATTGTCATCTTAAAAATACGGAACGCAGGCTGATTTTGAGGCTGAAAAACGGGATGTCCCGTAAAATACGAGACATCTGGCAAGGGCGCTTACCTGTTTCTATTATGTGCAACCAAACTGCCATTGAAACAATTAAATTATGTATAAATGTGTAACATTTTCATTAATGTATGTTTAAATTAAGTTACAAATTGAATAACTAATTTTACAAATACAATAAAGCAGTTTTCAAGGTGTTGTATACCATAATTTGGGACAAATTGTAAAGAGAAATGTACCTATATCATAATTTGAGACAGAGGGAGTAATTATTTTTTTTTATAGGAATGGCTACGGTATTCCCAGAACCAACAGATAAAAAAGCGTATTTTAAATCTCAAGCCTATTCAACGGATTACGTCACAGCAACACCACCTTCATACCCAGTTCATTCTAAGATGTAAATACGGAGACAAAAACCTCCTTTATAGGCCAATTTTATTTATTTATTAATTTTTTGATCACTACTTGTCTATTTTAATTATTTACTATTGTTTATATTGTAAAGAGTTTATTTTGTTTATTATGTACAAGAGGGATAAAAATAAATAAATGTTTTAATATAATTTTATTTTACTAAATCAACTCCATCTATTGTCCTATTTGACAACTAAAATTTAATTTGATAAACATCACCTAACTTTTCGGATTTATTAATTTTAAAACATTTTCATCGCGTTTATTTCCTTTTTTTTGTATGAACTATGTACATTTTTATTTAAATTATCTTAATAAGTACATACAGGATGTACAAAAAGTATGGAATAATGGTTCTACAGCCTAAACTTCAACTTATATTAAAAAAAGTTTTAAATAAAAGTTACTTGAAATTATTTTCCGCATATCGTGGCGTAAAAACAAAATAAAAATCTTGACGGCAGTCTGAGTTACGACATGGTAAGTGTGTTTTTTAAATGGAACACCTGTATATTTTAAAATAAAAAAAAATTTTAAATATACAGGAAAATAGTGTCAAGTAACTTTCATTTAAAACTTTTTTTAATGTAAGTTTAAGTTTAGGCTGTAGAACCCTTATTCCGTACTTTTTAAACACTCTGTATATTAAAAATAAAAGATTCTACGTCGTTTTCTTTTTGAGGTTAATTTATCTAATGGAATTTTTTGTTGATGTCAAACCCATCGTCCATCGCGGATTCTTCCGCGCAAATTCTCGGAAACCATCCCTTTTTGCTTGGTTCCTGAGATTATCAATTATTTCAATTTTTTTCTCGAATAACCAATATTTTCTCCATCTTGTCACTAAAAGTTTATCACCAATGGAGAGTTTTAATCGTGGTTCATCTGTGCAAGGCGGGTGAAGGCAAACACCAAAACCTTGCGTAATTGGCAACCAAGAACCAGAAGAAGCTCTAATGATTATGATTATGATTATAAGCGAGTTCGTTGTCTTTTTGATAGCTTTTGCTCAATTTGTTCTTTCTAAAAATTATTTATAATAAATTATATTAATATATTATTGATCACATTATTTAATTAATTACTGTTAAAGTAAATCACACCCATCTTTAACACTCCAATTAATTCCATTACCAACAGGAACCGCCTGCCCATTAATAACTTAAATTCCAAGGATTAAGATATAATACTGGTTTAATAAATAAAAGTGTTAAAAGTGCAATATTATATCTTAATCCTTGGAATTTAATTATTAATTGGTTAAAGAATGGACTTAATTATACAATTCGATCAAATTAATTGATAACTTGTTTGATATTATTTGAAACTCCCAAATCATTGGGAAAATCGAAAACTTCGTTAGTTCCTTTTCGTCGATGATTTGCTTTTTCAATAATCCAATCTTCGATTTCTGCTCGATTATCTTTCCTAAAATATATATTTTTTTAGATATGTGTTAATTTTTTAAAAATGTGGCTTACTTGGAAGAAAAATAAGATCCCAACAGCGATTACAACCCCGAGGGCTAAACCGAGTGCAAAAACGGAAATTACAATTCCATATAACCCCAAAAGAACAATGGGTTGGCCGGTAATACCGTGGTAAATATACCAAGATCTATAGAAAACTCTATACAGAGTGTACGATAAGATGCAGGTTACATAATAAAACTCCACTTATTTATGTTTTGATACTAAATGTATTAAAAAAAACATTATATGTACAGTGGTAGTACCACTGTGGTACATAACTTATGTAACATAAGATACATTCATTTTTCCATAAACAAATTACTTACTTTTATGAATTACCTACTTATATTTTTGGTTGATTAAAGTTGATTTTTATTTGTAATTCTGTCTTCACACTTTGTATATCTAATCTGTTTCGATTCTTGGTCCATGTATTTCCGCACAAGGAAAAGAGTCTTGCAGTGCGTGCATTGGAGACTGGGATCGAAAACACAAACTGAAGTAGTTTGATAAAAAAAATGGTTTTCATTAATTTCATCTGTTGTTTTAACTTTAGAATGCGTATCTAGGTGTCGAGGAATTACTTTAGACATAATTGGTTTGAGCACAGTATTCTGTGCTCAAATCATATAATGCATCTAAGTCGACATCTATATATAACTGAGACACAATTTTAACCAAGTCTTCTTAGTGGATTGGATTCTTCAGTGCCAATAAACTATTAGTGTTTTCGCTAAAGTCAAATCTTGATTCAAGTTACTTGATTGCGTCTCTGTACCAGGTGAGAAATATGAATTTATATTCTGCTTCAGTATTAGGTAGTTTTCGAAGATATTGCTGCACATTCATACCAAAGAAATCATCATCAAGACGTTGCTTCTGTTTTTGCCTTAAACGGTCCATAATTCCGTACATACTGCATATTAGCGTGTTTGAACCTTCAAGTTGAGTACAGCTCTTTGAAAAAATGTCAGGACATGGTGGTAAAACGCCAAATATATTCCTGCATCCAACACATCTTCGTTGATATTTTCGGTACCCGAACCAGATTTTGCGGCAATGGTAGTCTGGAAATATTTGAGAATGTATACTGGGCAGTCAGGTTCATTTACGAAGTATGTTTTCACAGTCTTCAGATTTTTGTAGAGTCGTTCTATTGCTCGATGTAACGATAACCATCGAGAACTTGAACGTGACTTGAAAAATACGAGAACATTTTTGTCACCAAGCTTTCGATGTTAAAGTCCATTTGACCAGTAGCATACTTTACGCAATTGTGAACTATGTGCGCCGAACATCTACCTTCAAATATACGTGGATTCTCATTTTTCAAACGTGAGAGACTAAATTAAAACGATCAAAGTTCACATTGGCGTTATGAGCGGAGTAACTGGAGATGTTTTCCAATTTCAAGCCATTTTCGGCAAGTTTGTTTTTTATGTTTGTAAATATATCGTTTGAGGCCTCTTTAGCGTCTTCATAGTAATCCAGTAAATAGTTTCTCAACTAGTCTTGTAATGAGAAGTATCTTACCACAAAAATAGGATACATTTTAATGTTAATAAAAAATGTCTTGATCAACCAATCTCTTCACGATTGGTTCTATGGATAGAGGAGCCAGTATGGAAGCTGCTGTGCTGTATGCTTTGGTCCTTCCTAATTTCATGTCACCGGCAATTTTGGAGTCCGGGTATATGATATAAGCCAGTTTAGATGTGCAGTCTAACGAAAAGTAAGATTGTCCATGCTCCATGCTGTGATAAACATTTGTAAGTTCCGCTGCAGGAACTTTCTTAGATGATGACGTGCCCGCTTGAGATCTATCGAACTTCGCTTGGTTGGTTTTCACCTGTTTGACGTATTCTTTGCAACAAAACACGCGCGTAACCGAAATAAGGGACGATGTTCTGTCCCGTATTGTCATATTAAAAATACGGGACGCAGGCTGATTTTGAGGCTGAAAAATGGGACGTAATGTAAAATACGAGATATCATGACAAACCTACTGCGAAGGGCGTTTGCCTGTTTCTATTATGTGCAACCAAATTGCCATTGAAACAGCTGAATTAACTAATTTTACAAATACAATAAAGCAGTTTTCAAAGATTTGTATACCATAATTTGGGACACATTGTAAATAGAAATGTATAGTTACCAAATGTAGCCGCCCCTTAACAATTGTAATGACCGAATATGAAACGTCAGCAATTAATTGTTATAAATAACTGCGAATATTTCGATATTGGAGAATTGTAATTCCGACTCGAGTTGCGCTTCCGTATTCATGTCTTATGTAATAAATTGTAATTTTAAATAAAAGTTAAATAATTAAAACGGTCTTACAATAAAAAAAACTTTAAATAACGGTTAAATAATATAAATAGCGCAGTCAGTAGGATCCGGTAAACGCGAGTGATTAAATCTTGTATCTTGCCTAAAATCGGTCCGATTTACAGAACACTTGTGGTGAACTTTCGAGTTCTTTGTTACTGGAGGAATTTGGATCTTCTAAAATTGGCGATCGATTCCCAGGACTACCAAAAAGAAGAATCAATGCTAGTAATCGTATTAATCTTCACACAACTGTAAATACCTTTATGTTCTGCACACCTTCCTTACCCTTTCCAATCACTGTGAACAACTTAAACGATTTGTTGGAAGCCATCAACAAGATCACAATGACACGAGGAATATCTAAAGTGGACCAAGACTTAATCCCGGTCTTCAATGGAAACCGAGTAACACTAAAAAGCTACATAAACGCCTGCGAATTTCTGATCGAAGAATATCTACCAACAGCCTCAGTAGCCCCCATTGAGGTCTTATATATAATCTAGAGAGCGTATGTGGTGGTGGTGGGGGTAATCAGAAAGTCAGATATGTTGGATGTACCGACCTGAACTTAGCTATAGTTTCAAGTCTCTATTGTACCTACAATTATAACCTCACAATTCTCATAAACATATTGTTATTTTTATTAAAATTTNGGTAATCAGAAAGTCAGACATGTTGGATGTACCGACCTGAACTTAGCTATAGTTTCAAGTCTCTATTGTACCTACAATTATAACCTCACAATTCTCATAAACATATTGTTATTTTTATTAAAATTTGATTTTTAATGAAAGTTTTCGAATTCTTTTCGTTTCATATATGTTTTTTATAATTTGGTAGGTTGGACGATTATTTACAACAGTCCATAAAGTGTTTCTGGTTACTTGACTTGAAATTAACAATTGAAGACCTCGGGGTAAGAAGGGGACAACTCCTTCTCTTGATAAATGGAGCTACTCCCTTCTTGCACCGAGGTCTTCAATTGAAGTTCAAGTAAAGTTTATTATTAAGGAAGGTTCAGTTTTTTTTTAAATAAACTAACAATTATTTATAAGCAAAGGTTAACGTGATCAATCAGAATTGCTTTAAATATTTTCTTCTTAGTTTATGTTAATTATAAGGGTTGTGGCTAAAAATTATTAAGTTCTTTTAAAATATCATATAATTAATAATTATTTATCAATAAAAAATTAATGTTTTGTTTTGGTTATTGTTTCCGCCACAGCGGTAACAATAAAAACCGGTGCCGATTCGGTAATTAAAAAATAAAGAATAAAAAA